CGTGAGTGGCACGTCACACTGCGTACCACTCTTGGTGCCATCGGGTTTCATCCTTCGTCCGCCCACCCGTTGCTGTTCGTTCGTTCTGGGCCCACACCTTTTTTCGTTCTTGTGTACGTCGAAGACTTGGTATTCGCTACAGCAGACATGACCGCTCTGGCTGAGGTGAAATCGGAACTACAGAAGAGGCACATGTGTATTGACCTTGGTGAGCTGCGCCGCTACCTTGGCTAGCAAATCGTCAGGAATAGAGCCGCTCGCACCTTCACTCTGACCCAGTCATACATGGTGGAGCAAGTCCTTCGGCTGTCCGGGTTTCAGATCTCTACCACACAGCCCACTTGTCTTGTCGTTGACCACAGACTCACGGGCCCTTTTCCCAACGAGCCTCATGAGCATAATGGTCCTTACCCAGAGCTTGTGGGCTGCCTCATATACCTGATGACTTGTACTCGTCCGGACCTCGCCTTTCCCCTCAGCATCCTCTCTCGCTTTGTTGGGACTGATAGACACCGTCCTGTTCACTGGACAGCTGCTGTGAGGGTGGCGAAGTACCTGGCGACTACATCAGGCACGGTGCTTGTGCTTGGAGGTCGTAGCCAGTTGTGTTGATTGGTCACTACGACTCTTCCTACTCCGACGATGTGAAGACTTGGCGGTCTACTCGTGGTTACTGCTTCAGCTTCGGTGAGCTGAGTCGTGGAGCTCTACTTGGTCGTCTAGTGCTGAGTCCGAGATCTATGCTAGTGCCATGGCTGCACAGGAGCTTGTTGGTTGACCTTTTTACTCACCAACCTTGGTAGGAGGCCGAGCTCGCACCGACTTTGTTCGTTGACAACAAGATCATGATCCTCTATGTCAGGTACTTTCTCCTACGAGAGTTGCAGCGACGCATCCAGACACGCTTGGACTTTATGGAGTCAGAGGCTAGCACTGCAGACACATTCACCAAGGCTCTTCCGCTTGGTGACCACGACGACAGGTTCTGTCCGTAGTAAGGCCTTGTTGACACATGCCCTTGGTTGCTGTAGTTTTGTCTTGTCGTTATTGTATTTGTCCTTCCATACATGTGTATATATACGTGTGTACTTTTGAACTAGTATTGTGGCCGCTTGCTTGTGCTAAGACTATGTGGTGACATGTAATCCATCTTCAGCTTTGTCTTTTTGACTAGTCGTGTGTTCATTTGTTTGCTTTGCTTGGTTTGATGCCCCTCACTTAGCCCGTAACAAACTATATTATATAGTTTAGATTGGTTGTAATGAGTTGCATTCTAGGGGGTACACAAACTATCTCGATAGTCCTCTTGTACCCCCCTCCCCCCCTACCCCTTTATCCTGATCCACAATTCTCAGTATCTATGTAACTTGGTTTCGAAAAGGCGTAAACAATGTGGTGTTGACAAAATAATGCCAAATGAATGCAGCGAAAGCCTTTCGCACTGTTCAAATGACATGGTTATTTCAAAACTAGGCGTCGTGGAAACTTCTCCAATAAATAATTGGGAACGAATCTAGCGATAGGGGAGATCATTCCGAGCCTAAACGCAAACTTCGTTAGAAAGTGCTTACCTAACAGTGAATAGCTTCCACAATCCGCCGCTTGGCAAATGGTTGCAGAACTTGTTTGCGGGGCCTATTCTTGCTCGATATGGCATGAACTAGCCCTTATGTTATGCAGTTGGCTTGAGATGGCCCCGTCCTCGCTTGGGTGAAGCGGACTTCGCAGTCGGGGGCTCGCAAAAGACAATGCAGACTGCGCGCAGGATGCGACCTCGACGTGTTTGTAGAGTTCGACCTCGACCAGTCCGCAGAAGTCGTCAGCAGAGGATGCTGGTCGACTCGCAGAGGACGCTGGTCGAGGAGTCTGTCGAGGAGGTCGGTATAGGAGCTCATTGACAAGGCCGGTATAGGAGCTCCCCGACGAGACCGGTAGAGGAGCTCTTCGACGAGATCGGTCGACAAGTAATGTTTGATGGCTCGTCTCGGCGAAAGCTGTTCGACGGAGCATTCGTCGAGCTACTCTATGGAAGTCGCGCGATTCCGAAATTCGTGGTGTGGGCGAATGTCGCCTAAGAGGTTTTCGCGAAGTCAATATGTTGAACGGCATCACGTGCTCGATGGTGCACCGTTGGCAAAACCGTCGGTATGTGTTCTACCTGGCAGCTGCGCAATGTGCCTAGCGGCGCGTCCGTCTACCTGCACCTACTTGGTAGGTGCGCACATGCGTAGAAGTCCTCCTGCCTCTACGGCGCTGACAGACTACTCTACTGCAATATTGGCAAGCCGCCCTTCTGCTGCGCTGGCATAGTTCGCCTTGCAGAGGGCTTGCTAGGTGTTGCAATGCCATTCTAGCTATATCGACTTGCATGCCTCATTGTAATCTATTGTTCTCTCAAATTCTTAGTGAAATTCTTGCCAAATCTCTTTGTGGACACAGAAAGTAGTGGGAATGCTAGTGCAACGCTAAGATCACCCGCACAACCCCGTGCCTTCCCCCGTAGTCCACTCCCCTTGTGTAGTGACTCTCCGCATATTCGTCGTAGCATTAGGTCCTTCAAAATGGTCCTTCATAGGAAACAACCTCGTTGTACCCCCTATTGGGTGCGGTCAGAAAGTAAAGGAAATGGAAGTTGGGTCAAAATTGTGTGGCTGACGGAACATAAGGGCAACATTTTTACGACCATGCCAAATGGTCGCCCGTATGGTTGGATCTGGCAATTGCGAAGGGTGTAACAGAGATGCGAAGGATACGAGATTTTCAAGCCATTCTGTTCGCCAGAACGTGGGGCACCTCTAAATACAACCAAAACTAAGGAAAAACAACTGATCCTAGTTTAAGCATTCGAATGGGGTGTGGAACCTCGGGGGGCGGAGAGTTGTATGTTTTGCAAGTAGAGCGGGGCTGGAAGACACTTTCGGTGGAACAATCGAAGTTAAACGTTGTCCCACTTCTCTGGACAGTGTAGTAGGCGACAAAAATCCTACGGGAATACCATTGAAATTCGGTCGAGTGAGGGTGAATACTGGCATGTCACGCGACGGGGTTTCCCTAAATCCTTCGCAATCGCCAGAAGCAACCATCAATTCGACCATTCGACATGTTCGTAAAAATGTTCCACGCCCTAACGCACGTCGAACAGTGCCGTTGATTTCAACCTGGTGTTTTTCATGCTCGTTATCGCACACGAGGCTAGAGGTCGATTCACGTGTGGCAAGGGTGATTTTGTGGCGTAGATTTTCCGAATCTGTAATCATACGACCAATCGAATGTGTCCAACTTGATTTCTGTCATTCATGCATTTCGAATTAATTTCGCACATGTGAAAGCATTCTGCCACACATTCACATCTGACAAACCGCACCGCTGGAGGTTGACAGTCATCACTACGCGTGTTACTGTAACACCGATTTGGAGGACGCGTTTGTATTGTACAGCCGAAGCCAAGTGTACTGCCGATTTATGACAGCAGTACAGTCTAAAACACAGTCAGTTTGGGCTGTGGGCTGGAGTTGCCCGAGCGTGCATTATTTTCCTGGCATTCGCTGTAGGCGCCGTTCCATATTCCCCCCAAGAAGGGGCACTACCCAGTGGTTCAATATTTTTCAAAACGTTTTTGTTTTGTTAATATGCGGTTAAGAGGCTTGAGGAATGGTAACCTTGCACTTGAGACGTCTAGATTCCTCCTCACGCGCAGTGTAGCCGTTTCGTATTCCACTATTCCGCCGAGGGGAGGTTATTATTTTATGTCGGTGGTATCCTAGGTTTCTCTACTCCACACCACAGCTTTAAAACTCCGGTAGCATGCGGTTTGGTGAGATTCTGTACGTGTTAGAGCGGTTTGTTCATGTTCTAGCACCCTTCCCCTAGGGTTTGAGCATTTTGAAGGCATACCTCACAAACGCTCGTTCCAAAGGAATCCAGACAGCCTCCCTTGGCGTTCTCCCTAATCTTCCGCGTTTCTCGGCCAATTGCTGCCAGCGCAACCGCAATCCCATCGCGCCTGCCAACCTACGAGTCAGTCGCAACGCCGCGCTCTCTCGACGCGGCAGCGAGGAGTTGGTCGCACGAGGGAAACCGCAAAATCTCGGTCCTTGGTTCTGTGCTGTGCTGTGCTCTGCTATGCTGTGCTGTGCTGTCACAGCACGGTGCTGTGCGGCCGTACCTTTCGTAGTTCCCTCGGCCTGACATCCAATCACCACTGGTCGTAAGGGTTATGTGATTTGCTGCGCGGATGCCTGTCATCCCCGATATTAAAACGTAGCGACTCTTGGGAGAGACGCTTCGAATCGCACTCGTGCAGTCGACAACGAGGCGCCGTAAAGGGGGCATACCGACTCGTGCACTCGTGTAGTAACGCTGGCATCGGAAAAAAATCCCGAGGCAACGCTCGTATGCTGTACGGGTTCCGCTCGCCCAGCCGCTAACCAGCACTAAATAAAAATTACTTTTTGCAAGAGCTCTCTGGTATTCCACTCGCCGGCGGTAGGGTGTCAGCATCAAGACATTCGCGGTAGAGCAATCGACGGCGAGAAGCAGCGAGGAGAAGAGTCATTACAATTTCGACGCTCCGAGTGGCAGTAGAAGGTATTTTAATAGTATAAGCAGCCTCCCCCCATTGACCGTACAAGCAGCCCCTCCGCTCTCACCCGTTAGGCGCTTCGCTCTTTGCAGCTGTTCACAACTCTTGCTATATCTTTCAGCTTCTCGGTTCTTACTCTCTTAGTGACTCATTTTCTCCTGATACGACTTCAAAGCTCGCGAAGTGTCTTCATATCCGAGTGACGTTTGATCCAAACTGCGAAATCTCGCGCCTTGGTGAGTCACGAAATCTGCGAATCTGCGAACTGTGCGAAATCACTCGAGCAAGCCTTAATACCCTGTGTCATGCTCGGTTGTCATTCCAGTCGACTCAAGCCCGTTCCGTCAATCCCCTGAAAATCCTGCTGCAGGAAGTCAACCGTCTCCGTCTCGGTCTCCGTCTCCGTCTCCGTCAAACCATGGCTTCTTCGTCTGTGCGACGCGCCAAATTGTCCGTCCCGTCGTCGACCTCGTGGCTCTCGTCATCCTCCCACGTGGTCGTCGCCGCGCTTCTCTGCCTCATTGCCGCGCGTGCTGCTGCTGCTGGTAAGTCCGATAGTGCTTCAGAATTTCTGGTTCGTTACGTTGTCGTTTTCCGTTTCTTGTTTGGTTGTTTGTTTTTTCATCAAAGATATGCTTCAGTTTATCAGCTTTTTTTTGCTGAATTCGGTTCATTTACTCGTACTTACAGTTCGTCATCTCATCACCTTATCTCCTGCAATTCGTCATCTCATGTCTGTACATTCTCTCACCCTCCTGTGCCCCCCCTCCCCCCTTTCCACCCGCTCCCCCCTCTCTCTCTCCCTTCCGCTCCCCCTTTCTCCCCCACCCCTCCCTCCCCTTCACCTCGCTTTCTGCCTTCCCCTCGTTTTTTGTTTGTTTGTTGTTGTTGTTGTTGTTGTTGTTGTTGTTTTTTTTTTTTTTTTTTTTTTTTTTTTATTATTCCAGAGTGTCTGGTTGGTTCCGGATTCTACGGAGCTGATTGCACCGCGTGCCCTGGTAAGGACGATGCCATGCCGTGTCATGCCATGCCATGCCATGCGCTCACAGCAAGTCCGTATGCCTTGCCATACCATGCCATGGCGTGCCATGCAGCGCGTCAGGAGCTTGGCACGTTAAGAAAACCTATACCCTTCGTTATGCACTGTCGATTTACTCATACTCACCATACTCCCCTTGTACGGATTGCAGTGTCAGAATCTCGGCACGTGCAAGGACGTACGTGCCTGACAGCGACGGCACGTGCGCCTGCCCTCCCACCACCACCTTGTCACGCCCTCACGATCTCCCTCCCTCCTTACCTCCTCTCTCCCCTCCCTTTTCAACCCTTCAGTGTGCCAGAATCTCGGCACGTGCAAGGACGGGCCTGACGGCGACGGCACATGCGCCTGCCCTCCCACCACCACGGGGCCTCTCTGCGAGCTCTGTGCTCCCAACTACGACCCTGATACCAAGTGCACCACCAGTAAGGATCTTACAAGGGCGTGTTCTGAAGGGCCTGCTGTCTGCTCTGCCCTGCTGTCTGCTCTGCCCCGCTTTTCAAGCAGCTTGCAACCTGACTTTCACCATGCTTCTCCTGTTTTCCCTCGCTCCTGCTCCTCCCCTTGTGTTCACTTCCCCCCCAGTCGTGGACGCCTGTGCAACGTACATCAATGACACGGCTGCGGACGACAGCGCGCTGCCAAGGCACCCTGCTTCACCCTCCATCCCCTCTCTCCCCTGCTGCCCTGCTCTGCCCCTTGTCTTACCCTCCCTTCAGTTCTGGACGCCTGTGCAACGTACATCAATGACACGGCTGCGGACGACAGCGCGTTCGCCAAGTGGTGCAAGATGCGACCCAACGGGGAGTGTGTCACTGATTTCGACGCCGTGCCGACCCGCTCGACCTGCGGATGCGTGGCGGGATATACTTTTGATGAGGAGACCCAAACATGTATTGGTGAGTGCGCTTATGGTGTGCGTACATGTATTTCGTTTTGTAAAAAAAAGCCTGCATAAGGTTTTTGTTGCCCTTTTACTGATTTGTGAATTTGTGTTTTGTACGAGGCAGATATTAACGAGTGCAAGCTGAGGCCGTGTGTGGATGTGAAGAACTCGGTTTGCGTCAACCTGGTGGGAACGTACAATTGCACATGCAACAAAGGTTTTGTGGCTACGCTTGTTGATTCTCTTAGCATAGTTCGCACGTGCGACAAGCCAGTTCCTCCTGTCACGACCAAGGTCATGTTCCCTATGCCTTGAATAGGAAAGTTAGGTGTTGGTGTGCTGCAAACCTGTGATTAGGGCGATGTAAGGGAATAAGCCCATATAGGCGGTTTTCTTGTATGGAACAGGTATGCGTGGAATGTATGAAACTTTTATGAAGTACATTGTTGCTTGTCCCATTAGGCGTTCAACAGGATGACATACCGTCGGGCATTTATCTTAGCGGTAACAATCATGGAGCTCGATCGCACGCGAGGTAAGCTACGTGTCAAAATCGTAACAGAGATTTCTTCTCATCGCCAACATGGTAACCAGGATTGCCGGGATGGTCAGCATTATTGCCTGAATGGTAATGAACAGTGCATCAGGAAATCCTGGCTGGAAACTTCGCGTTCCAACCAAACTGTACACCGTACAAGTCAGGTGTGACTCAGCAAAAAGAAACTGACTGTCCACGTACACACCCACAGAATGCGCAATTCTCTTTAGTATACGAACGCTTACAAACGCAAAACGTACATGCACGCATTCGATATATTTAACTATCACTATTATAGCAAGCATCTTATGGACACTCAGGAAAAACAGATTTAGCCTGATTATTAAAAAACTAGGATGAAATCATCTATTCATACAGTTTATATCGAGCCTTGAATGCATGGTGTATTATATCAATAAAAAGTTTTAAATCTTATGCAACTTTTACTATCTGTCATTTGCGAAAACTAATATTGTTCAACTCATATTAAAAACATTGCTACTTGGTCTTCTCCCATTTCTGAAGTATATTTCTGGTATATTAAAATAACTTAAAAAATATTACTAGGATAGCTTTGCGGTTTGACAGTGTGTGTGTTTTTTTGTGGCGTTTATTTCTATGATAAATGTTTAATGTTTGTTGGTTTTTTTTACGGATTACAATTTTGTATATCGAGGTTTGACTGTCGCGGTTGTAAACGCCGCTATTATAAAGAGAATTGCGCATTCTGTGGGTGTGTACGCGGACAGTCAGTTTCTTTTTGCTGAGTCAAATCTGACGTGGAACGTGTAGTCAGTTTCTTTTCAGTTTCTTGTACGGTGTACAGTTTGGTTGGAACGTGAAGTTACCAGCCAGGATTTCCGGATGCACTGTTCATTACCATCCAGGCAATAATGCTGACCATCTCGGCAATCCTGGTTACCATGGTGGCGATGAGAAGACATCTCTGTTACGATTTTGACACGTAGCTTACCTCGCGTGCAATCGAGCTCCAAGAGTGTTACCGCTAAGATAAATGCCCTATATCGTCAGAACCAGGGGTCACATGGCAATGACGTTGGACGACGGTGCGCTGGGACCACTTCGGTTTGGGGTTGACGTGGCGGAGTGATAAGGGCTGCTCGCGAAAGACTGGTCGTGAAATGAGTCAGCAACTCGAGAAGGTTCGTCGTTTATTTGTTCGTGGAGAGTCTGTTCTGTCGCACAGATTTGCGGCCACCTACAGTCGTCGCACTCCACAAACACATCTACCTCCTGAGCCACAGATTTCACCCTAGAATGAAGAACATTTCGGACGGCCACGATTTCTCTTTTGGAAATTCCACTCCGCTTGTTCGCGTGGATGTTGGTGGTGGAAAGAAATTTCGTAATTAATTTATCGCCTTCTTGCTACATAAATAAGGCTTCGCACCAGTTTATTTAGCAAACACCATCCTCTTTTCCACTATCTTTTTTACGGTCACCATTCATCACGTGTGATACACCTGGCCGGTTTCCCGATCGTCCGTGCCCAGCCCACCCTCCCCGCACCACGCCACACAGTACACCTCCACCTCACTCTGTTGCGGTTTGATCTACAGCCAATGCACAGTGCTGGAAATTCGGCCGCACACTACGGCTCTGTGCTGTAAATTCGGCCGCCATGCCTTTGCCCCAGCGTTATGCATGCAAGGTGCGTTGTTTCTGCGGAGGCTTTATCGCATCCCTCTAGCGCCGTTCGACCGCGCCGCCCGGCAAATTCTTGCTTCTTGGCTCGGCTGGTCGGGCCTGGCCCTCATTCCTAATCTCCTCCAGAGTTACTGTATTCCGTACTGATACATGCACCCATTTCAAGGTCTTGTCAGCTTTTCCTTACTCCTAGTGCCAAGCACGAGACAGACGACTCTACTGCCCTTCTTCTCCAGCTGTCAAAAGAGGGGTTTTTTAAAGCGACTCGAAAATACTCTTTGAATCAAGCACGAGACAACAGCCCATTTGCTCTTCCTCACAGCTGTCAGACGAGATCTCCTAAAGTTAATTGCTGCCGTATTTTGCGGCTGCACTCTTGCTGCCGTTTGTGTCACCGCAGCGCGGTAACGGAGGCAATACAACCGTGATTCCCAGCTTTTCTATCCAGCGTTCTTTGGTAGAGACTACCATCATCCAACTTTTTTCTCAAAGATCTTTTGAAGGACGCTTAAAAGCCGAGTTAAGCCCGCTGCCATGGAGGACGCGTGCAAGCCGTCGATGCTACATCCGTGTCCGAATCAACCGTCCAGCGGCTCCTTCTCCCCTTCCACCTTCGCCGCCGCGCTCTCCGTCTGCCTCATCCTCGTTTTCACCGTCTCCGTCGCCGTCTGCATAATCCGACGGCTGAAATTGTTCGAGATCAATCTCGACAGCCGCCCCGCGGCGGACCGCGCGCACCCGCGGGTGATATGGGTGCGGCATCAGGACCAGAAGCCCGCGAATCCTGGGCTCGACCGCGCCACGATTCGCTCGTTCCCCGTGTTCACATATCGCGGCTCGGACGGTCTAGACGGTCTAGGGAGTGACGGGCTCCTCATGGCGGAAGATGGTCGTTCTGGTTACCCCGCAGCGTGCGCCGAGAATTGCGGGGAAAATTACCCCGAAAATCACGGCGGTTCGCACGCGACCGGCCACGTAGTGATTATCGTCGCCAGCGACTCCGCGAATCTTTGCGACGATGATGGAGTCGCGCCGGGGAGCGCGACAATCAATGCGGCGACAATTGGCCCAAGTCAGTGCGACAGCCTTCCGCGCGGGCGTGGGCGCGCGGAGAGTCCGAATCCGCGCGGGCCTGCGGAGAGGCTCACGCGCGAGTGCGCGGTGTGCCTGGGCGAGTACGCGGCGGGCGAGCGCATCAAGGTGGTGCCGGCGTGCGCACACGGCTTCCACGCCGACTGCATCGACCTCTGGCTCGCCGCCAAAACCACCTGCCCCATCTGCCGCCGAGACCTCCGCGGCCCCGCCACAGCCCCCGCGCAAGAAAACCTATTGCGGACGGATCGCGGCGAGCCAATCCCGCCAACTCCGCCATCCCCGCCAACTCCGCCATGCCAGCCAACTCCGCCAACTCCGCCATCCCCGCCAACTCCGCCAACTCCGCCATCCCCGCCAACTCCGCCATGCTCGCCAACTCCGCCAATTCCTCCAACCCCGCCATCCCCGCCACATCCCGCCAATCCTGCCATTCCCACCATCCTTATTCAAGAGAGCAGCTCGTAATCCCCTTTAACTCCGTCATTCTCCTTGGGCGGAAAACGACTCGCGGGCGGAACCCGCGAGCGGACCGTGACGTCCGGCCCCGCCAAAGCTGCGATTCGTAAGCCTATCATCTCCCCGATTTCCCATCCCCCCGTCACCCCCCGTCACCCCATTCCACCACCATCGCCCCCATTGCTGCACCCCCCCATTGCCTGAATTGCCCCCCATCACCCCGCCAAATCCACATGCCCCGCCCGCCGCGGAGTGTTCCGCTCGAAACGCCGCAAACACCCGCACCCCGCTCGTTACCTAAAGCCTGAAGGGGGGGCGGGGGTGAGGGCGGGGGTGAGGGCGGGGGGGAGGGGACGGGGAGATGCGGGGGTAGAGGATCCGGAACAAAAATGATGATGACGCAGTGGGAAGCGTGGGGGATACGATATAAGCGCAGGGAAGCAGAAGCGAAGCGGAAAGGTGGTTGCTTAACAGGGGGGTGAGGGGAAGCGGAAGTGATTGAAAGGCCGGGGGTTGGGGGGAAGGGGAGCAGCGCCAGCGACAGCAGCGGACGAATGGGGGTTGCTGGGGTGTAGCTGGAAGCATGCGGAAACAGTAAAGGTTGTAGACTATTCAGTCGAGTCAAAAGTTGAGCATGCGCAGAAGCAGCAGCAGCGGACGAGTTGAGGGTTGCGGGGATGCAGGTGGAAGCGTGCGGAAACAGTGAATGGGAGGTGACTAAGGGGGGAAGGGGTGTGGAGAGGGGGGATGGGGGGAAGCGGAACAGCATGTGGAACGATTGGAGTAGGAGGGGAGGGATGCGGACCTGGGAATTACATTCCCTACTGAAGACCGAGATTCGACTAGAGTGAGTGATAAGATGTCCCAAAGGAGGTTGTGGATCTCCGTTGAATCCCCTCCTGTGTACTATCCACCCTCAGGGTGTACCCTTGTTTTAATCGGGTAGAGTGACGAGGAGCTGTTTCCATGTTAGGCTGCTGAGGAGGACTGACGTGGGGTTAGCTTGTTGAGTAGGGTTGACTTGGTTGACTTCAGAGGTGGTATAGACGAGAAGGCAAAGCCTCTCTGAAGCTGACATACTGGTAGCGGAACTGCTGACAATAGCTTGGTTGACTTTTGTTGATCTAAGTTGACTGGAGCTGACTAGAGCTGACTTGGGTCAACTTGGGTTGAGGAGCTGCAGCTGGGATGGGAGAGAATCCTTGGACTGTAGGATAAGCAGATGTAGCAGGAGGGCAGACGGATAGGGGCTCAGTGTTATGAGCATATGTAGATAAGACACATAAATCAGCGGGGTTTTCATTGGGGGGAATGGAAACCTGCTCCCGTGATTCATGGAGCAATTTTGGCATCTGTGCTGCAGAGTTGATTGTCCCCTTGGCTGTGGTAGAATTGAGCTACAGCTTGTGGCTTGTTGTAATCGCATGCAGCACCAACTACAATCAGTGAGTTCGCAGGTTAATTTGCCGTTTAGGGTGTTTTCAGCAAGATCTTACAAGGGCTGAACGGTAATGCATACTACTATAACCTTCAAAATTAGAAATCGAGTTAATTATAGTTAGGTTGCAGATGGTTCTATTCCACAACAAGCTTTTGCCAACAAATCTTTTGTTTCGAGATTAGTGAAAACGAAAACCCTAGATTCGCTCTCAAAATCACCAACTCCCCAGCCCTTTCTGCTCTTAACCGCTTTGAACCGTAACGTACCTTACAAGAAACTCGAATATCGCAAACGAAACCTCGGTTCGTTCCAACCAGCATACGGCACCTCCTGACACTCACAGAAAGGCGCGCGCGTCGCCAATCGGTAATTTCGAGACTACTACGGTACAACCATCACGGCATTTGGCAAATATCGGGTCGCGTTGCCGCTGCTAGACGCTGTCATAACGTCACGGCGACTTGCACAATGCTCTACTTTTCACGCTTTCAAAAGCAATCTTGTCGCCGCATCTTTAGTCGAGCAGACGTTGCCTTACAATCTTGGAGGGAGCATCGGAAGAACTTCTACAAGTAGTAGTGTGATTTAGTTTAGCCGATTCGCTGACGAGCGCTCCCGGCGAGATCCGAGACGTTGATTTCGAGCACCGTTCACTTCGACAATGTTCACCGTCCCCTGTTCTCGAATTCCACGAAGTTCGTGCACGCAGAACGAAGGAATCTGAACCCACTGGGCCGTCGCTACAGTGCCCGGCGAAGACGTCGGTTCTGGTTACGATGTTGGGTCGAATTCGTGATCTCGATCGCATCAGTGCTGGCGACAAACTTCGTTCGTTTTCCTCGAGGCGCAGAGGGAAAGAAAACTGGCCCGACGACCGAGCCGCTCTCTTTCTGCTCACGTCGGAAAAAGAACCGTTTGGACAGGATGAGAGCGGAAGCAGATGCTCGGGTCAGCCCTTTTCCTGCAAAACTGGCGCGTACCAGTGTCAAGCGCTGCTATATGAATAACTGCAAGCGACCGGGATTGCTTTGCTTCGACTCTGAAGAGATTACAGCCTTCCCGCTTCCACTCGTATTAGCCCTCCTTCTGTTTAAGAAATCAGGGACTTAACGGGTCGTGCAGTTGATTCTGTCAGACTCCGTTCTCCAGTAGCCTGCTGACACGTGGCAGTCCGCCAACCTTATCCATTAGCGAGCATGGATGTTGACGTGGCATCCATGTCGGTGGGGGAGCTGGAGGCTGTGTGGCTGAGGCGAGCCGGCATGAGGAGCGACCTGAGTGTGACTATACCGGGGGTGACTGCTCCAGGAGTGACTGTATCCGGAGTGTCCTTCAACGTTCACAAGTACCCGCTATACGCGCGCACGTGAGTGTTTTTATGAGTGTATATCCCAACCCTATTCGCTACTTTAACGGGTACTTTCTCTCATTCTTGCTTTCCCAAGTTGCTGCTACACAAGTTATGTTTCCTGCTACAGCCTCTTCAATCTCACCCCCTTCCCTGCTCCTAATTCATCATCCCACCTCCCCCTGTCACCCCCCTTTCAGCCTCCCTGCTCCTCCCCTCGCTTCCTCCCTCTCTTACCAGCGAAACCTCTAGGAAAGAATCTTCCCTTCATGATCCTTTTTGAAAAAAATCCGATTTCAATTTTCTCTCTTCCCGTCGAACCCTTGTTTATCAGCGACTTTTTCCAGGAATCGTCCTCCGAGGACCCAGATTCTGGTCGCAACCACATCGACATCTCGGGTCTACCCGGAGGGGAGAGGGCGTTCAAGCAGGTGGGTGGGTGGTGGTGGGGAGTAGCTTGTGATACCTAAAGGCGTGTCTCTGATTCTGGTCGCAACCACGTTGACATCTCGGGCTTACCTGGAGGCGAAAGGGCGTTCAAGCAGGTTAGTGGGTGGTGGTGATGGAAAGCAGTTCACGAGATTCAAAAGTCTTATCTCTGATAGCCCCTGCAACCACATCGACATCTCAGGGTTACCTGGAGGGGAATGGGCGTTCAAACAGGTTAGTGGGTGGTGGTGGTGGGAAGCAGTTATTTAAAAGTCTTATCTCTGATAGCCTTTGCAACCACATCAACACATCTCGGGCTTACCTGGAGGGGAAAGGGAGTTCAAACAGGTGGGAGGTGCTGGGAATGGAAATGAGTCAACGTATCAGTTAATGAGGCATTTGGTTGAATCCAAACGTCACTCTCACGCCATTCCATACACACACACACACACACACCCTTTCACGCCGCTCTACACCCATTCACACCCCTTCACACCCTTGTCTCCTCATCCAACCCCTTTTCCCTCTCCAAAGGTTGCCAGCTTCTGCTACGGAATGGATTTCAAGATCTCACCACTTGATGCTCCTGCGCTCGCCTGTGCGGGTGAGTTTGAGACATACTCTAGAGTGGCCACGTTCAAGTTATCACCACTTGATACTAGAGCCCCCCTTTGTGCTGGTGAGTTATTGTGAGCACAGAAGTGTTTGAGTGTGAGTGAGAGTGACTAGGGGTGCGTGCGTGGAATGTGGGTGCGTGCGTGGAGTGTGGGTGAGTGCGTGGAAGGGTGTGAGTGAGGGACCGAGAGAAGACGAAAACCACCTTTGCCCATCTTTCTCTGCTTCAGAACCCCCCTTCTCGTCTTCTCTTCTACCTCCCATCGCCTCCCCAGCCGCGTTCCTTGGAATGACTGACGACTCTTGCAGGGACATGGGCAAGTAATGAGTGAATCTGCTGTCAGTCCGTCCCTCTCACACCCCACTTCCTTTCTCCCTTTCCCCCCCTGCTCCCCGCCACCTCCCCGCCCCTCCTTCCTCTCCCCAGCCGCGTTCCTTGATATGAATGACGACTCTTGCAGGGACATGGGCAAGTAATGAGTGAATCTGGTGTCACTTCAACCCTCTCCCTTCCCACTCCCTCCCTCCCGATCCCCCTCCCCAGCTGCGTTCCAAAGAATTACGGATGATTTCGCGCAAGGGAATGGGCTACTACCGTGTGAACCTGCTGTCCCTCTCTCAACCCACTCCGTTCCTCCCTTGCTTGCCCTCCCCCCCTCACTCACCAGCCGCGTTCCTGGGAATGACAGACGACTCGCGCAAGGGAATGGGCAAGTACCGTGTGAACCTGCTGTCCGTTCGTCCCTTGCTCACCTTACTACCTCCCTCCCATTGAGCCTCGCCAACGCCTCCCTTCCCCACCTTCCTTCCCCTTGCCTCCCTTCCCCACCAGCTGCCTTCCTGGGAATGACAGACGACTCGCGCAAGGGCATGGGCAAGTACCGTGTCAACCTGCTGTCATTCGCTGCTGCTGCCATGGCAGGCATGCTGAAACACGCCGATGCTGCCCTTGCTGTGCTGAGAGGGTGAGTGGTGGCGATGGGGATGGGGGCACGGGCATGCGCAAGCACATTCACTGCTGCTGCTGCTGCTGCTGCTGCTGCTGCTGCTGCTGCTGCTGCTGCTGCTGCTGCTGCTGCTGCTGCTGCTGCTGCTGCTCTCTCCCCCCGCTGTTTCAGCCTGCTGGTTACGCAGATGCCTGGGATCATGGGTGGGTGCATGGGTGGTTGGGTGGTGTGGGCTGTGAGGATCATGGGTGAGGCTCGCCTTTTGAGGCGCCTCTTAAAATCATGGTGAGAAATGCCCCATACAACCCACACCCCCTCCCACCCAACCACCCATGCACCTGTCGATCAGACTTTCCCCTCCACCCACTCCCGTCTCCCAGCTGTGCCGGCCTGCTGGTTGAAGCAGATGCTCTGGGAATCGTGGACGAGGCAGCAGACAGGCTGGCGGACCATGCGGTTACCAGGTAACGCTCACGAGTCGAATGTCTTTTACTATACTTCCCCCTTAGCTACGAGGCAAAGCACCTCTATTCTCTGCTCTTTTTGCCAATTCTCCTGCCAGAGAATGGATATATTTTGCTGCTCCCAGATTCCCAATCCTCCTTACAATCATTCTCTTCCCCTTGTTGTCACGTGCCTTGACTTAAATATGTTCCTTATTCTCCTCTGCTCCCTCCCTCCCCATTATAATTCGCCCCCCTCCTTCCGCTCGGCCTCCTTTGGTCTCAGCCACAACCTGTGCACCGCACCCATTCACATCAGCGGTACGCGCTTTTGTTTCTCCTAAAAAAAGAAAAAAAGAAAAAAAATCATGACTTAAAATGCTTGAATTCCTTTTGTTCCTGCTCCCCACAAGTGTGTTTTGAGTCGAGCCAGAAAACCCCTTACAAGCTGCAAGTGTTTTTTTTTTTGTTCTTCGTTAGAAACAAATGTCATCTGTAATGAAATGTCCATATTTGTGAACGCAGATGCGATGGCTCTATTGCCTCTCGATATCTTCCTCCGCGTTCTAGCAAAGTTCAAGGTACGTCATTTGCTGCTTCTGTCTGTCCATCCCTCCGTCCATCCACCTGCAAAGCATTGTAAGAAGAATCACAAGCATTCTTTCAAAAAGAATCACCCAGGAGGCAGGATCAAAGCCCTGACTACCTCAGATCCTCCTCTCCCTCCCTCCTCCACCCCATGCCTCATTGCGCCATCCCCACTATAAATTCCTCCAGGAAAAGAATCTGCCCGAGAAGGAAATCGGCAGCGCAATCGCCTTCTACGCACAGCACAACCTGCCCGACCCGAAATCCCTTGCCGCCCTCTCTTACCCCTCCGATCCCCCTCCCTCTCCCCACTCCTCATCCTTTTCCTCCTCCTCCTCCTCTTCCTCCTCCTCCTCGTCCTCCGCCTCCTCCCTCTCCCCTGCGCACTACCGTCGGGTCCTGGAGGGGCTGACAGCGGCCCTGCCTGCTGCTGCTGCCAGTGTGCCCATGCAGCCGCTGCTGGGGCTGCTGCGCTGTGCTATCGTGCTCAACGCCTCTGAGGGGGTCAAAGCCACCCTGCAGCGGTGAGTGGGGTTTGGGTGTAGCACCTAGAAGGTTCTGAAGGGACTGACAGCAGCGCTGCCTGCTGCTGCTGCCAGTGTGCCCATGCAGTCGCTTCTGGAGCTGCTGCGCTGTGCCATTGTGCACAACGCCCCTGAGCGGGTGAAGGCCACCCTCCAGTGGTGAGTGGGGTTTGGGTTCAACAGGTGTTGGGTTCTGGAGGCGCTGACAGCGGCCCTGCCTGCTGCTGCTGCCATTGTGCCCACGCATCCCCTGCAAGGGCTGCTTCCTTTTGCCGTTGTGCGCATCGCAAATGAGGGGTTAAAGCCACCCTGCAGTGGTGAGAGAATGATTGCTAGTCATGCTCACACGTGAGGCGTTCAGGTGCAGCTGGGATGTGGCCCACTGTTGACGCCGCCGCCGCCGCCGCCACCAGCGTGCCAATGCAGCTGCTGGGGCACTTCCCATTCTCACCTCCCCGCCTTCCTGCCTTCCTCTCCCTCCCTCTCCGCCGGTCGAGCAGGGCCACTGTTCACTGATGCATCTCTGGACGATCGGCTTGCTCATGCTTCCCCTTGTCCTCCCCATATCTAACCTTATCACCTCTTGTCTCTCATTCTCTCACCCTCCCCTCTCTTCTAGCCGGGCAGGAGCACTCTTCACCGACGCATTCCTGGACGATTTGCTCATGCTTCCCCTCACTTCCCTCCCTCATGCACCCTAATGAAACTCTTTCCCCCATGTCATCACCCCCTCTCCCTCTCCTCTAGCCGAGCTGGAGCACTCTTCACCGACGCATCCCTGGACGATTTGCTCATGCTGGAGACGAGTGACGTGCAGGTGGGGTGGGTAGTGGTGCAGAGGGCTTGAATGCGTTATGGTCTTGGTTCGAATGGGCATGTGATTGGACTGCATCTCTGGACGATCTGCTCATGCTTCAGCGACGTGCAGGTATGGAGTGGTGGAGGTTGGTTCGGGAGTGGTGCAGAGGGGTTGAACGCGTTTGGTAGAGCCTTGTCTCTGGACGATCCACTCATGTTGGAGACGAGTGAAGTGCAGGTGGGGAGTGGTGCAGGTGGGGAGTGGCGCAGGTGGGGAGTGGCGCAGGTGGGGAGTGGGGTTGGGTCTAAAGCACACCTTTCCTCTTTTGAACAGTCCTTGTCATCGAATAGAGTGAATGGTACAGCGAAGGCAGGTAATGAAAGGTAAAGACAGGTAGAGGCACAGGTAGGTATGAGAGGGAGAGGCAGGTAGAGGCAAAGGCAGGCATGAAAGGCAAAGACAAGAAGGTAGATACCTGCTTCCCATCCCCACCCTTGCCTCTATCCGCCTCTCCCTCTCCTTCCTGCCTCTACCTACCCATTCCTGTCTCAAACGGTCCTTGTCATTGACTAAAGTGAATGGTACAGCAAGGGCAGGTATGACAGGCAAAGACAGGTAGAGGCAAAGGTAGAAATGAGAGGCAAAGGCAGGTATGTACCAAAAGCAGGTACGAGAGGCAAAGCCAAGTATGTACCTTCTTGCATTTGCCTCTCATGCCTGCCTTTTCCTCTCATACCTGCCTTTGCCTCTACCTACCTTTGCCTCTGCCTGCCTCTCCCTCTCCTACTTGTTTTTTCCTCTCATACTTTCCTGTTACTTGCCTTTTACTTGCCCGTGCCTTTCTTACTATGGCAAGCAATCCCTCTTTGTCTGGCTGCTCTGACCGCTTCCCCTCACAATGGTCCCTCCTTCCTCCTGCCCTTCCCCTGTCCCCCCTTCCACCCCTCTCGCTTTGCAGGGTCTGCTGCACGGGTTTGCATCAGAGGAACACCTCTCCACCCTTCCTGACCGCGCTCAAGCTCTGCAGGTGCCATTTCGCTGTTTCGTTTGTATTTTCATACCACAAGATAGTTGTGTCGTAGTGTGCTGTTGAGATGGTATTGTTTTTCATACCACAAGCTAGTTGTGTCCTACTCTTCTGCTTCTTTTCTCAAAACCCTCCGGATTCTCCCAATTATCTCTTGTCCCCTCCCCCATTCCTTGTAACTCCCCTATCCTCCACCCCTCCTGGCAGCAGCATCTCTCATCAATGCCTGCCTCCTCCACCTCTTCTCTCCTCCCAACTCCTCAGCCCCATGCTGTTGCCGTTTTGCCGCTGTTTCTCCAGTCTCTCCCATTTCTCCCATGTTTCCCCCATCTCTCCCTCCGTTCATCCCCTTACAGGCAGCAGCAGCGCTCATCGATGCCTACCTGCTCCACCTTTCTGCCCCTCCAACACTCCACCCTAATTCCGCTGCTTTCGTTTCTCCAGCCTCTCACATTTCTCCCATCTCTCCAATTCCTTTCACCCCCTTACAGGCAGCAGCGCTCATCGATGCCTACCTCCTCCTCCTCTCCTCCCCTCCAGCACTCCACCCTGATTCTGCTGCTGGCGGGGTTGCGGCTACTGTTTCTGGTGCTGCTTTGACTTCTGTGCCTCACCCTCTTACACCCCCTTACACCCCCTTACGCCCCTTCACGTCCCATTACAGGCAGCAGCATCGCTCATCGATTCCTATCTCCTCCACCTCTCCTCCCCTCCAACACTTCACCCTGATTCCGCTGCTGACGGGGTTGCTGCCGCTGGTACTGCTTCTGCTTCTGCTGCTGCTAGTGCTACTTCCGGTCTCTTCTCAAGCATCAGCGCCGGTGCCCCTGCTAGTAACAAAGCAGCTGCTATTGAGGATGAGACTTCCAAGCCTGAATCGCAGGCTTTCCAGCCTGCTCTGAGTGTGGCGGAGTGGAAGCACCTGGTCTCTGCCCTCCCTGCTGATGCCCGGCCGTCTCATGACGGTCTTCTCAAGGTAATGGTTACTCCCAGGGTGGGTGTGAGCGGCACACAGCCTTTCCAGCCTGCTCTGAGTGTGGCGGAGTGGAAGCACCTGGTCTCTGCCCTCCCTGCTGATGCCCGGCCGTCTCATGACGGTCTTCTCAAGGTAATGGTTACTCCCAGGGTGGGTGTGAGCGGCACACAGCCTTTCCAGCCTGCTCTGAGTGTGGCGGAGTGGAAGCACCTGGTCTCTGCCCTCCCTGCTGATGCCCGGCCGTCTCATGACGGTCTTCTCAAGGTAATGGTTACTCCCAGGGTGGGTGTGAGCGGCACACAGCCTTTCCAGCCTGCTCTGAGTGTGGCGGAGTGGAAGCACCTGGTCTCTGCCCTCCCTGCTGATGCCCGGCCGTCTCATGACGGTCTTCTCAAGGTAATGGTTACTCCCAGGGTGGGTGTGAGCGGCACACAGCCTTTCCAGCCTGCTCTGAGTGTGGCGGAGTGGAAGCATCTCGTCTCTGCCCTCCCTGCCGATGCCCGGCCGTGCCACGATGGGCTTCTAAAGGTACATGGGCACACATAAACACGCATACATAGGCACTACATAGAGACTATGTTTCTCCCAGTCTGTGGTTGAGGGGCGGACAACCCTGCCAGCTGGCCCTGAGTGCAGCGGAGTGGAAGCATCTTGTCTCTGCCCTCCCTGCTGATGCGCAGCCGTCTAACGATGGGATTCTAAAGGTAAGAGGAGTTACAGTCACAGTCACAGTCACAGTCACAGTGTCAGTCACAGTCACAGTCACAGTCACAGTGTCAGTCACAGTCACAGTCACAGTCACAGTGTCAGTCACAGTCACAGTCACAGTCACAGTCACAGTGTCAGTCACAGTCACAGTCACAGTCACAGTCACAGTCACAGTCACAGTCACAGTCACAGTCACAGCGGCACTGAGGGCAGTGGAGTGGAAGCATCTAATCTCTGCCCTCCCTGCTGATGCCCGCCCATGCCACGAGGGGCTACTAAAGGTACGAAAAAGTGCTGCTGTTTCACACATACACGGTCGCATGCACATAGTCTCACACATAGACTCCCAGCAGGCACTGAGGGCAGTGGAGTGGAAGCATCTAATCTCTGCCCTCCCTGCTGATGCGCGGCCGTCCCACGATGGGTTACTCAAGGTGCGTGGATGGTACAAGGCTGAGTCGCAGGCCTGTAAGGGCCAGCCCTGCCAGCCGGCCCTGATTGTGGCGGAGTGGTTTTTGAGAATTCTCAAAAAGAAGCATTCAGTGTGCGCCCTCCAGGCTGATGCCCGGCCGTGCCATGATGGGCTGCTTAAGGTAAACGTGGGAATGCTGTTGTTCCACAGTGTCACTCGCTTATATCACACTCATCGTGTCACACACATAAGTCACACGCTCGCACTCACATCCCGTCCCATGCTGTTGTACCTGCGCCATCCCCCTTCCTTACACCCTGCACAACACCACTCCACCCCTCCCTTCCCGTTCCTTTACCCTTCCTCTAACCTCCTCCTCTGTCATCGTCCTTCCTCTCCCTCCACACTACCACACCACGAACCTCTAACAACAGGCGGTAACTGCCTACCTGACAGCTGTCGGCGCGGGATTGGCTGACTGGGAGGTGGCAACGCTGGTGGGTGTGGTAACCCCCTCGCGCCTCTCCCCCTCAGCCATGGAGGCCGCCGCTGCCTGCCCTCTGCTGCCCCTGCCGTTCCTGGTCTCTGTGCTGCGCATTCAGAAGGAGGTATGGAGTCGACTCAACAGTCATCAGTGTCTGTAACCCGGCCATAAACCCTGAATGGGAGGTGGCAACGCTGGTGGGTGTGGTAACCCCCTCGCGCCTCTCCCCATCGGCTATGGAAGCTGCTGCTACCTTCAAGCTGCTGCGTCTGCTCTTCTTGTGTCCTTGCTGCGCAATTGGAAACGGGCACAATCCCCATCACTCTAACCTTCTGTTTCCTCCTCTCTTTCCTCCCTTCTCCTATCTCTTTCTGCTTTCCACCAGGAGGCAAGGGCGGCGCTGCAGCAGCAGCAGAGGCAGGTGGAAGCAGAGGAGGGAGAGACGAGGAGAGCAGAGGCAGCAGTGGGGCAGCTGAGAGAGAGGGTGGCGGCACAGAGGGGGAGGAAGAGGGAGATTCAGAGAGAACTGCTGGTGGTGAAGGTGAGTTGGGGGTCTCAGAACTAGAGAGGGCAGAGGATAAGTGCTGAACACTAGAAGGTGGGCAGCATTGATAGAATTGGCAGAGGCAGCGAGTGTATGACAGTCATCCATGCAGTGAGATCCGTGCAGTGCTACGCGTCTTTGAGATCTACAAAGCACCAATACAATCCGAACACCTCAATTCCACCACATTTAAAAATTCGTACCACAACTTCCAACCACCTCGGTATTGTCTGTACCCCTTACAGGCTGCCCTGCTAGAGGACCACAGGGCGTTCCAGACAGAGTTGGCAGAGGCGTGCTGCCCTGCACCCTCCGCTCAGGTTCTCCTATTTCCATGTTAATCACTAACCCCTGACTGCCAAACCACACCATTGTTCTTTGTACCCCTTACAGGCTGCACTCCTGGAAGACCACAGGGCGCTCCAGACAGAGCTGGCAGAGGAAGGGGCATGCTTTCCTTCACCCTCCTCTCATATTCTCGCATTTTCATGTTAATCACTAATCCCTGACTGCCCAACCACGTCATTGTACCCCTTACAGGCTGCCCTGTTAGAGGACCACAGGGCGCTCCAGACAGAGCTGGCAGAGGCAGAAGCGCGCAAGAGTGCTTTGGAGCAGCAACTGAGGGCCGCTGCTGTGGCTGCTCGCTAGGAGATAGGTTGAGTGCGGTTGAGTAGGGTTGACGGGGTGAACAGCTCAGGGCTGCTGCTGTTGCTGCTTGTTAGGAGTTGATAGTGGTTCAATCCAGATGCAAATGGGTGAAAGACTAATTACATCTTAAATGTACCACCCTCCTAAGCTGCCTTAACTGATTTTCGTAACGCACCCATTTTCTTTGTCGATTGACCTTAGGTATGTACATACCTACTTAACAGTCATCACGCTAAAGATACGGTAAGGATATCAGCCTTCTTACACTGACATCTCATTACCTGTCCACCATCTTACATACAAGTCCTGTCAAAAAACGCAACACTCATCCTGCACCACACCTAGACGATAGTACATTCGATCATCCGATCCAAGTCATCAACCTCATCTGACCAACAGTCATAGTCATCCCAATCATAATCGACTTTTGCGGCGCCTCAAAAGTAACCTAGGCGTGTTATTCGATCATCCAAGTCATCAACCTCATCCGACCCACGGTCATAGTCATCATACCAATCATCATAATCGTTGTCTTCATCAGAATAGTCCGTGCACGATACTTTGTACAGTCCAAACAGGTGACCCTGCCAGCCAAGTAAGCCATGAAGAGGTTATACATTGCATTGAAACAGATTATGTCAAAGGTGGATGGAAACCAAGAAAAAGTGTGAGGTATGAAACCGGAGACCGAGGAACAACCTGGGTGCAGATGAAGCAGCACGCATCGCCTTTATTGCAACCCAACGCAACGTGAGCCGTCGGTTTCAGCAGAGCAGTGGTGTTCCATGCCTGCTCAAAATCACATAACAACACAGGTGAGGGAGGGGGGAAAGATGGTACTCAAGGCCATATCGTCTGCTTTTGAAGCGCCTCAGAAGCAGGTTTCAGCAGAGCAGTGGAGCTCCATGCCTGCAGTACGGCGCACGGGTGAGGGTGCAGCACAGGGGAAGTTGGCGCACATAATCACATAACAAATCATGTTCGAACACCTGACAGTCCTTTCCAGTGGCGAAGGGAAAACAGCACCGTGCTCTTAGAAAACGACACTACAACGCTCCCAACTATCTCACCGGGTCATGGCCAAAAGCAACGGAAAAACAGCACCGTGCTTGCAGAAAATGACACGGCACGTCCTTGCATAAAGGCCGGGCACAGCTATAAGTCACCCATCTCACCGGGTCATGGCAGAAGGGGCATGCGCTTGGAGCAAACGGCTGGCCTTGTAGCATCCTGTGAAAGCGCAGCCAGGCATTGGGAGAGAGGTATGTGTGAGACACAAACACGCACCTACGTTTTGAGACATCAGGATGTGCCTAAGTTTTGACTGTGCACTCAGCAGGCGTTACACTGTGGGCCCAGCCCAGCCCACTGGCGGGACCACACCCTCACTCACACTCGTGCTAACACGATCGCCATGGCTTACCGCGACTGCTTGAACCCAGCAATCGCTCCCCGCACCACCTCACAACGCTCCTCCTCCTCATACTCATCCTCATCCTCAGCGTCTGCCTCAGCGTCTGCCTCGTGTTCCCGCCCACAGTCCCCTGCTGCCATCAACACAGCCGCGCCCTCCTGCGCTCCTTCCTCCCTAGCTTTCCCCCTTTCGTCCCCTTCCCCCTTATCTTCTCCCCAGCTTTCCCCCTTTCGTCCCCTTCCACCTCGCCCGGAAAGAGCGGCGATGGGCGGGAAGGAGAGGCGGGGAGGAAGCACTCATCCAGAAAGATTCGAGTAGCGAGCGCGGAGGAGAGCGCAGAGGAGTCGCTGACATGAGAACCAATGGGGAGGTGACTGCTGCTCTCCTTTGATGCTCCCTCACTTTCCTTACCGCCTCCCACACTCACACTTCCCCCGTCTATGCCGCTTTCCTCCTCCGCCTCGCTCCAGAAATCCGTCGAGACTTTCCCGGACCAGCGATCCCACGGCTTGGCGTCGTCCTCTCGCAGCGCGATGGAGCACGCGGGCATCACGCCTGGGCATGCGCTCATGCAGCGCGCCAGGCTGCTCGCCGCGTTTCGCGGCGCATCGGCGCAGCCCACCTCGTGCACCAGGCGCGCCGCCACCGCCGCCACCGCCGCCGCCTCGCCGTCTTCCGCAAGCGCGGCGCGCGCGAGGCAGTAACGCGGCCATAGCTCCGCGCGGGCGACACGGGCGAAGGCGCGGGAGACGCAAGCGATGTTGGCGATGGTGGTAACCGCTTCGCCGGTAGCTTCCGCGATACGAAACAACACCGGCCCGTCTAAAGCTTCCATGATATGCTTGACTCAAGCATGAAAGGCAAGCCTCCAGGATCAAGATGACGACACAATGAGCACGTGGAACTCAGACTAACGCCAAAGTCCATTGAGTACAGTACCTCTCTACAACTAGGTATCCCTCAAAATGTCTTCGTCGTGGGCGAGAAATGGGCGTGAGGTCGAGGCGCGTGGTCGAGAATCTGGCGTGAGCTTGAGGAACGGGCGTGGATATATGGAGAAAATGCATGCCATGCCACCCGTCAGAAATCATGGAAAGCCGTTGCATGGGGTTCTGAACATGCTCAACAACTGCGGACGCGCTGTCAGTTATAGCCAAAGCATTGCTAATGGTTAGCGAAATCAATTTTCCTTATAAGTGCAAGCAAGATAAACGAAAGCTCGGCGACACTCAGGTAATTCAGAAACTTTTCGCCACACAGACAGCCCCACACACTGCTCCATCTTATCGAGTATATTCAGGGCGAGACTCTAGAGAGGCACTACAGTGCCGTTTGTCACCTAGGTACATAACTAACCATTTCATTTCGTCCATTATGTATGAATACGAAAATCCTATATGACTGCATTGTTTTCATTCACTGGAAGCTCCTGATTGCAGCTCGGCAAAGCGCATCCCAACCCTCGCAAAGTGGTTCAGAAACTTCTCCCCACACCGCTTCACACACTGCTCCTCCGTCTTATCGAGAGTTTTCCTCCTAAAGTTGTCCACGCAGTCCCTGAAACACCGTTCCACCAGTGAGTTGTACATGCGAGCTCTGAAGAGCAGGGTGGAGGGAGGCGAGGGGGAGGGAAGGTGGAGACAGGGAGAGAAATTACAGAGATCAACATTGAGTCTTCCGCCTGAAGTTGACCGCCGATCCCTGAAGCACCGTTCCACCAGTGAGTTGTACATGCGCGCTCTGGCGTGTGGGGGGGGGGGGGGGGGGGGGGGGGGTGTGAGGGGGAGGTGGAAACAAGGAAAGAAAATACGGAAATCACCATTGAGTCTTGCGCCTGAAATTGTCAACGCAGTCCCGGAAGCACCGTTCCACGGTGAGTTGTACATGCGAGCTCTGGAGTGTGGAGTGGAGCAGGGTGGGTGGGTGGGGAAAAGAGAACAGGAAAAGAGAATGCATGAGGGTTCATTCAAAGTCTTCCGCTTAAAAATATCCAAGCAGTCTTGAAAATTCCGTTCCACCAGTGAGTTGTACATGCGAGCTCTGTTGAAGGGAGACAGGGGAACAGGAAATGGAAGATCGTGCGAGTCATTAAGATTGTCCACACAGCCTCTAAAGCAGCGCGCCCACCAGCGAGTTTTGCATGCGAGCTCTAATGTGGGAGAAGAACTGGGGGTTCAGAAAGAACACGGTAAGAAAACATGAGAGTTCATCCAGAGTATTCTTCCAGGAATTGCAAACGCAGCCTCTAAAGCATTGCCTCTGTTGTACAGAGGAGCTCTCGTGTTGGAGATTGGGGAAGGATGATAGAACCCGATAAAAGATGAGATGGTCAAGTGTCTACTGCTTGAACTTGGAGCACAGACAGCAAACGGAGGGAAAGAGAGGGGTAGGGGGAATGGGGGAACGCGGAAGGGGGCACAAAGCGGGGCCACGGGGACGGGAAGGGGGAAGAGAAAATGGGGAAGTGCGAAGTGGGGTACAGGGAGGAGAGAAGATGGAGGGGGAAACAGGGAACAGGAAAGATGGAACGGGGAATGAGGAAGGGAGAAAGATGGTTCTGTTGGCTCTGCTGACTCTGCTGGAAGGGTAATGCAGAATGAGTTATCTAAATCTCTGCGCAACCTGCGTGACCTCAACCTGCATTTGACGACCTTAATATTTCTGAGTCCTCAAATGAGCCATAAACCCATTCTGAGGTATGCACACCCAGAGAAAAGACGTCTCAGATCCTCGTATCAAAAAAAAAAAAACTCTCCATGACCCGCGGAGCAGTCAAGCCCAAGCCATGTCAACTCTGCAAGTTCTCCGACAGGCGTCAGGCAAGTATAAACTCTCGTGGCTGCAAGTTCTACGCGCCTATCAGGACCAGAGAGGCGCGTCAGGCAAGTATAAACTCTCTACACGTAGAGAGCTCAGGCGCAGGAGTCCAGAACCCGTCAACACGAAGTCCCGTCCCTACGCCTGATTTCCCTAGGAGCGGATGGCACAGCGGCCACGGATCTGCGGCTGAGATTTTCTCACTGCGCGTTCTCGATCACATGCGTTGAGTGAATCTCCTCGTTCAAACTTCCCCGAATCTATTCTGAAAAAGAAAGAAAAAAAAAAAAACACTCCGCAGATCCTACCTCACCCGGCCCACACGTCTAACCTTTAACCTGTCGTGTGCTCGTGCGCGCAGTGGAGGTTACGACGCTTCACCCTCACTACTCGGCGTAAATCACCCTTCTCGTCGCTGTTACTGCAGCCGACTAAACTCACCCGTCCCGTCGCTGCGCGTTTTCGATCATCTGCGTCAGACGCGCCTTATCCTCCTCGGGAACTCCCTCCAGATCGAGATCCATGGCGACGGGATGCAACGACACGCGACGGCAAGCGACGAGATGCGACGCGAATCGAACAGGCGAAAACGAGCAGGACACGGGGTGCGGGGGAAACGTAGGAGCGAGACAGACGGTGAAGTCGAGGCGAGGATCAGAGATGGTCAAGTGAATGTGTGCAGAAGTAGGATCGAGGAATACGCAATACGCGTTAAACGCGAGGTTGTGAGTGGACTTTAGAAGCGGTTATATTTTAATGAAGTGAACAAATCTAGTGAGCTATTCGCCGCTCAGCACCATAAAAATGCTGTTTTGTGTTTCTGTTTATAAGATGATGGAAACTAGCGTAACGTGCCATGCAAAGGCGGGGAAATCAAATTGATTATTGCTCCCCCTCTGCTTTCCAATTGCCCTCGGTGCTGCCGGCTTTTCCGTTAGGGCGAGTAAAATCGGCGTGCATTTTAAAAAATGGGGTTTGGCCGGGTTTTTGTCGACCAAATGGTCGACACTTCTTTCGCACATGTCAACCTGATGGCCGAATTAGAGTCGACCAGTATTTGCAGGTCTGCAAATTTTACAACTTTGCAGGCCGAATTGCTGGCCGACTCCAGAAAACTTGTAAAATTTGCAAGTGCTACAGTAGGAACGTTTGTGCGACGGGGTCGCACATATGACGGCGAAGTCTCTGATTCGACAAGAGAAAATAATCTGTCGTTCTGCGAGACTGTGCGACGTCGCACGTGACAGTCGCTCACGGAGTCGACTACTTGGCCGAATTGGAGTCGACATGGTGTCGAATTCGAGTCGACTTTCAAAACGGCCATCAATTTCGTTTTTTATTCGCGAAATTTGCGATGGTCGCGAGCTTCTTCGTGAAACTCGCAAACGGGTTACTTTCGCCAATTCGGCCATTCGGCTTGTGGCCGAATTTTTAGGTGCAGCGATTTTACACGCCCTTATTGTCACTCGATTTCTTCCCAGCCACGACCACCTCATAAGAAAACCCTAGACCTAGAACATCCATACCAGGCGGCAGTTCGAGTCCAGACTCGACTATTATACCAACTTGCTTCTATTTCTGTCTGCCGAAGCAGAAGGAGCGGCTTAGCTGACCGTTATTCCTGCCGCACTCTTTTCCTCTCTCTATACTATCACGCCGAGCGCCCGATTACCGCCAGTCGACTCGAAGGTTACCTTGCCATTGCCTTGCTTAAGTCTCAACAGCGCTATCACGGCCTGAACCGTCGACTTGTTGACGTAGGCTGTCAGTGCCTCGATGACGTCACTAGCAGGATGGCCGACTGGCGCAGTAGAAGGCGAAGACGTGGTAAGCCGCCGCCTTTAGCGTCTAAATAGTGATGATCCTTTATGCACATCGAAAATCGCCTGTAAACGTTGGGAAATTACTTTCTTAATATTAGTCTGTGCGCATCAATCTACTAGCGCTTTAATCCGCTCCGTTCGGTTTTGTCAGCTCACGAATTCCAGTTATTTTTGCCTCAATGCCGCTCTTGCCATTTTCTAGCTTTAATGGTCTTTCGCATCTTTTCTGATTGAAAGTTCGCAGTGACACTTTTGATTTGCTGTTTTTGTAGATACTGGCATTTTTCTATATGTTTTATCAAGCTTTCCGCCGATCAATACAACCCTCTAAGTTTCGTATTTCCCGTTTTTATAAATATTAACACGGTTCCAGGTTCGAACGATTTTTATAACGGGTTTTCCGCCCGACACAAGGAGCTCGAGCTGCAGATCTGTCTTATTGGTCACATTCTCATTTTCCCGTCTCCATCATAGATGCTTTTTATTTTCTACTTTCCAGGTCCGAACGATCGTCATAACGGGTTTCCCGCCCGACACCAAGGAGCGCGAGCTGCAGAACCTCGTTATAAGGTCCCCTCTATCTCCCGAGTGCCTTCTCTCCCCAGGTCCGGACAATATTCATAACGGGTTTTCCGCCAGACACCAAGGAGCGCGAGCTGCAGAACCTGCTGCGCTGGTGGCCGGGCTACGAGTCGTGCCAGCTGTCGTACAAGGGCGACCAGCCAATGGGCTTCGCGCTCTTCTCCACGTCAGCCATGGCCTTCGCCGCTCGCGACGCCCTGCAGGTACGCCCGTTGGCTGCTCGCATGACGTGGCTAAATCAAGGCAGATCTGATCGCTTCTCGTCTGGTCGCGTCATATCTGGCAAGCCTTTACTCTTGGGCCTATTTCTGTTGCTGGAAATTCTAGGCCTTTTCAACATTGTATTGTAGGGGTTGCATTCTAGATGTGTTTCCATTTTCCCCTGCTGTGTGTGCAGGGGCTGTTGTTTGATGTCGAGTCCAATGCGGTGCTGCGAGCGGAAATGGCCAAGAAGAACCTCTTCAGAAAAAAGGGTACAGTACAGATATCGTTTTTCCTTAATATCAAAGAAATTAGGAGCATGGTTTGCATGAAGGAGGAGGTGCTCGCGTTTGGTGGAATCATACTCTCTTCTCTTCTTTGGAGTATGGGTTTGGGTGCGTTTGTTCTCTCACCCAGATTCCATAAGAACTTCCCTTTCCGTTTTCTTACCCTTCGCATGTTTTTTTCCCCACTGGAATCAGACTTCTCTTCCTCTTCTCCACTCCCCCTTCCTCCACTCCGCGTTCCCGCACTCCTCAGGTGCAGAAGATCCCGCCAAGAGGCTCCGCGTTGCTGACGCCTTGACCTCGTAAGCCATGCGGAATGCATTTCGCCTTTCTAACTTTCCTCTCCGCCTTCCCCACTCCGCCTTCCTCCATCCCGCTTCCCTCTCTCCTCAGGTGCTGAGGATCCCGCCAAGAGGCTCCGCGTTGCTGACGCCTTGACCTCGTAAGCCTTGGGTTTCCTCATGTGTAGTCGTAAGCCTTAAGCAGTAGTTTTTTGCTTGCCATTGTTGCCATCCCGTTTTCGAAACCCTTTCTTTTGATATTTCAAGAGGATTAACGTTATTGGAATCATCTTTCCTCCTCCCCTCCCTTGCAGGTATGTGGTTCCTGGTACGGCTTCTAATGAACCCTATGGTGCTGCTGCTGCGGCTGTCTCGGCAGAAGTGTGGGCTCCACTGTTTTTCTCCCATCATGACCTCTACCCCCCTCCTCCCCCCCCTTTCTCCCTTGCAGCTACGTGGTTCCTGGAGCGGCTTCCTATGATCCCTATGGTGCTGCTGCAGCGGCCGCCTTTGCTGCAGCAGCCATTGGCTCCGCTCCTGCTGTCTTACTCCCATCCCAACTTCATTCCTCCCCTCCTCGCCTTTCTCCTCCGTCACTTCCTCCCTCTCTGCTCCCTTCCCCGCAGCTATGTGGTGCCCGGAGCTGCCTCTTATGATCCCTATGGTGCTGCTGCAGCGGCCGCCTTCGCTGCTGCAGCCGTTGGATCAGCTCCTGCTGCTGTCATGCCGCGCACTGTAGCATCGACATACACTCCCTCCAAGGTGGGCTGCTGTTTCAGGTCAAGGCTTTAAGGTTTAAGGCTGTGCGAGGGTTGAATTGGCTCTGCTGCTGCTGCTGCCATGCCGCACTGTAGCGCCGTCGTACACTCCGTTTAAGGTGGGTTGGATCCATTCGTGCTGCTGTCATGCCACGCTCTGTACCATCATCATACTCCCGTGGCTCTCCAGGATGAGAGCAACCCTTTCTGGTATTATGCTTGTGTTGTCTTTTCCATGTAGGCTGCTGTATTTATTGCATATAAGCCATCAAAACACTTCAATCATTGTTCTTTCTTTCTTTCTTTCTTTCTTTCTTTCTTTCTTTCTTTCTTTCTTTCTTTCTTTCTTTCTTTCTTTCTTTCTCTCTCTCTTCTTTCTCTCTTTCTCTCTTTCTCTCTCTCATTCTTCTTTCTTTCTCTCTCTCTCTTTCTTTCTTACCCTCTGTTCAGGTATACAAGGACAACCCGCCATGCAACACGCTCTACATTGGCAATCTCAGCCCGTTTGTGAACGAAACAGAAATCCTCAGCGTCTTCGGCACGTGAGTTTACCTCTCCCCTCTCTCCTGCCTCCTTTCCCCTCCTTACTCTTTCCTGCCTCCTTCCGTCTCCTTCCTCCCTCCTTCCTCCTTCTCCCCTTCGTCTCCCCTGCATCTCTCCCTCCCCTTCCTCCTCCCTCTCTCCTCTCTCCTTCCTCCTCCTTCGTCTTTTCTCTCTCCTTCCTCCTCCTCCCCCCTGCCTTTTTCCTTCCTCTTCCATCCTCCCAATTCTTTCTTTCCTCCCTCCTCTCTCTTCCCTCCACCCTTCTCCATCCACCCTCCCTCCTCGCGCTTACTGCCCTCAATTGAGACACTGCTTCACCCACCTTTCATGAATTCACCTCCCTTCCTTTTTCTTCGAAACATCTTGCGTGGTATTGCCTTCTTTCTTGAAACCCTGCTTCTTGACACCTCTTTCATAACACTACTTTCCTCCCCGTATCCCTTCCTCCCTGCATGATTCTACCTTCCTCTCCCAGCCAACCGGGGTATGTCCAAATGAAGCTGACGAGGCAAGGCGTGACCAACACATGCTGCTTCGTGCAATACTCTGTGAGCTTTGTTGATGTCAAAACCTACGTACTTCCCATTTAGTCAAAGCTGAAGTGAGAGCTGCATAGTGATAGAGCTTCTCCCTTCCTTTGAGTTATTTCTATGGTATATCTGTCCTGTCGTCCCCTCATAACCACCTCGCCCCGCCCTTCCAGGACATAGCATCAGCATCAGCAGTGCATGCAGCACTACAAGGCACCTCTCTAGCCTCATCAGACAGAGGGCCCATCCGAATCCAGTTCTCCAAAAACCCCCTTGGAGTCAAGGGGATGCGCTTGGGGGGGAACTGACCGCCTTCCCCCCTCCCCCTCCCTCTCTCGCCCCCCCTACTCCCTTCACAGGACATAGCGTCAGCATCAGCAGTGCATGCGGCGTTACAAGGCACCTCCCTCGCCTCATCAGACAGAGGTCCCATCCGCATTCAGTTCTCCAAGAACCCCCTCGGAGTTAAGGGGCCGGGCTTCGGGGGAGGAATGGGGGGAATGGGGGGAATGGGGGGAGTGGGCGGAGTGGGCGGAGTGGGCGGAGCGGGGGAGTTTGGGGGCGCTGTGAAGAGTGAGATAGGGCCAGTGGCGGAACCCCCCCCTGCAGGAACGGACGGAGGAGCAGGGGGAGCTGCTGGGGTAGGAGGGGCGATGAAGGCAGAGGCGATTGGGGCAGAGGCGGCAGCAGCTGCGGCGCTGGCAGCAGCGAGTGGGTTGACCTAGAGTGTGTTGTGGTTTGAAGGGTCGAGTGAGATAGGGCCAGTGACGGAGCCACCACCAGCAGGAACGGACGCAGGAGCAAGGGGGGGCAAGGGCGGAGGCTGCAGCAGCTGCGGCGCTGGCAGCAGCGAGTGGGTTGACCTAGAGTGTGTTGTGGTTTGAAGGGGTGCGGCAGCAGGAGCAGACGGGGAGGTGATTGGCGTTAGCAGCAGCGAGTGGGTTGACCTAGAGTGTGTTGTGGTTTGAAGGGTCAAGTGAGATAGGACCAGTGGCGGAGCCCCCACCAGCAGGGACGGACGGAGGCGCAGGGGGGGCAGGAGGGGTGGGAGGAGGGGCGATCAAGGCAGAAGAGGCAGCAGCAGTGGCGCTGGCAGCAGCGAGTGGGTTGACGTAGATTGCGCGTGGGCCGGGGTTCGGGGGAAGGAGGAGTTGGGGGCTTGGGGGGAGTGGGCGGAATGTGGGGGGCGGAATGAGGGGGTGTTGGGGGGGATTGAGATAGGCCCAGTGGCGGAGCCCCCACTAGCAGGAACTGACGGAGGTGCAGGGCGAGCAGGGGGAGCAGGGGGAGCAGGGGGAGCAGGGGGAGCAGGGGGAGCAGGGGGAGCAGGGGGAGCAGGGGGGGCGATTGGGGCGGAGGCTGCAGCAGCTGCCGCGTTGGCAGCTGCCAGTGGGTTGACTGAGAGTGTGTTCTGGGCGTGAAAGGTCAACTAAGGTTTGGGGATATGTGGGAGGGATAGGATACACAGGCAACAGGGATGAACGGAGTAGGGGGTGCAGGGGGGTTGTGAGGGGTAGGAGGAGGGTTGGGAGGGACTGGAGGGGCGATTGAGGCGGAAGCTGCAGCAGCTGCTGCGTTGGCAGCAGTAGCGAGTGGGTTGACTAAGAGTGTGTTCTGGGCGTGGAGGGGTGTGGCGCAGCAGGGGCATTAGGGACAGCAGGGGCTGCAGGGGCAGCAGGAGCAGAAGGAGTTGGTACAGTTGGAAAGCCGAGAATCCATTAGCAAGGATGTATGCAGGTTTGGATGGGAGGTCGGATGGAGGTTCGGATGGTCGTTTGGATGGATGTTCGGATGCAAGGTCAGCTGGAGGTTCGGATGGAGAGACAACAGGAGCGGTAGGTGCGGAGGCTGTTGCTGGTGGGCCTGCTCAGAGGTAGCATAATGGAGGTTGGCATCGGGATGCACATGGAGGTGTCATGCATTGTGGCATCGGGATTGGCATGTACATGGCATCCACATGGCATCCATGTGGCATACACATGACACCCACGTGGTACCCACTTGCCATGCACGTGGCATTAACATGTTATGCACGTGGCATGCAGGCATGTGCAGGACACGGCGATCGCAAGTCGATTGGCATGCTAGCCTCTTGCATTGCGATGCATTTGCCATTCCATCTCCCGTCACTGGAATCAGCATTGCCTCCCATTGTTATTCCAGCCACTACCATTAGCATGGTTCGTCATTTCAATCCCCATCACTAGCATCTTCATTCCGGTTTCAGTCTTTAGAATCAGCTTGGCTTGCCATTGCCATTCCAGCCACTCCCATTAGCATGTTTCGTCATCACTAGCATTACAATCCATTGCCATTTCAAAATCCAGTCTATAGAATCAGCAGTGATTGACATTGCAAATTCCCCCACTTGCATTATCATCACTTGCCATTCCGATTCCCATCACTTGCATTACCATCACCTGCTCTTTCAAATCCCAGCATTACCATGGGTTGTTTTTGTATCAGTTTGAGGCACTGGCATTACAACGGTGTGTTGAGATGGCAATTGATTTGCCATTCCAACGCCTCGCATTACCATCGATTGCCATTCCAACTACCAGGCACCAGCATAAGCACGCATTGCCATTCCATACTTCAACCACCATCATTAGCATGGATGCACCCCCATTCCATCGACACTGAAACCATCTAACACGATTCGCAGTCGCAAGTACCATCAAAGCATATCAAAGCAAGCTCTGACGCACGAGCATCGGCGTCACCAACAGCACCAGCATTCAATCCCCATACCATTTCCAAGCACCGCAAATATCGTCCATGGCCCACTGTTGACATTGAAACTAAGCACTAGAACATGAGCGTTGGCATTGGCATCAGCATCAGCACCAACATGAGCATCAACAGAAACATTGGCGCCAGCATCAGCATCAGCACCATCTACATCCACTGCTCACTTTGTCCTATGTACAACCAGCACTAGCATCAGTATTCTGGTGTGAGTGGGCGTCATACAACATGACCAGCATGTTTTGAGACGTCTCAAAACAACCAGCACTAGCATCAGCATTTTGGTGTGAGTGGGTGTCATACAACATGACCAGCATCCGCATCCCTCCATGGGCCTTATACAACCATCAGCATCAACAGCAAATAAAACATCAGCATCAGTGTTAAGTTTTGTTATATACCCTGCTTGCTGTGTGTTCTAGTGTAGCTACAGTGGTGGTGCACCAATGTGCTCACCTTTCTTTGCTATATCTTGTAACCTTGCTGTAGTGAACCGCACCTTCCTGTTTCTCTCGCTCACGCTACCCCAAACCCTTAGGCTACTATTCTTAACATGGTACAGAGCTGGTTCTTTCCCGGAACCTTCTCTTTTTTTTAAGAATCATGGGCCCGCCCGTACTACAGCGCGAAATGCGCTATTTTTTTTTTCTCCCCGTTCGCCCGTCACGCGCGCCCTGCCCGTCCCCCCGAACGTGCCACGTCGGCTGCCTCGCGGACGCCCCGTCGGCTGCCCCGCGGACGCCCTGCCCGTCGCCCGCTGCCCCCCCCATTTCGTCGCCACGCGGCCCCCGTTTCGTCGCCCCCGTCACCCCGCAATCCGCCAGCGCGGAGGCCAGCGCCGCGGCCAGCCGCCAGCGCCAGCAGCAGCTACCGCCGCCCCCCCCCCCCCTCCCTCCCTTCCGCGGCTTCCGTCGTGGGGAGGGTGTCAAATGTTGTAGCCTGTAGTGAGGTTTGTCTTAGGGGGTACAAAACTTAGGGTTAGCTATATGTACCCCAACCAACATCAATGCACCATCCATTCTTCATTCTGACATGGTATCAGTTAGGTTAGGATCCTGTGGGATCCCGTTCCTCCGTTCTCCGTTCGAGCCTCCCGAGCCTGATCCTAGCTCTCATTCGTTCCGGTTCCGTTGTTACCGCGCGTAGTGCCGCGCCTAGCGCCACTCCTAGCGTCGCGTCCTGCCCGCCCTTTCCCCCTCGTCGCGCCCCTTTCCCCCCGTCGAGTCGCGCCCTTTTCCCCCCGTCGCGTCGCGCTCTTTCCCCCCGTCGCGTCGCGCCCTTTCCCCCCGTCCCGTCGCCCGACCCTGAGGACTCCTCTGACTTCACCTTTTACCACCCTCCCTCTCACCGGTTCTTTGACTCCCGTGACGTCCGTTTCGAGGAGTCCACCCCGTACTACGTCAGGTACCCCAGTCGAGGTCTCCCGGTTCCTCCTCCCCCCCTCTTCCTGACAGCCGCTCCCCCGCCTGCTCCCCCGGTACAGCCTCCCCCCCCTGGTCCAGCCCCGTCTGGTGTGTCTCAGGCTAGCCCTCCCCCTTCGGTAGCCCCCCCTGTACAGCCTCCCTCCCCACAGTCTTCCTCACCGCCTCCTGTAGGTGCTCCCTCTCGGGAGGTTGGTCCTACGACTGTCCCTGTACAGGTCTCTGGTTCTGGGGGTGCTGGAGTTGGAGCTGAGCCGCGGGTTGCAGAGGACTCTTCTCCTCCGGGGGCTGGTACTGGTCGTGCGGAGTCTGGGGGTGCTGGTGCTGCGTCTGGGGGTGAGGGTGTTCCTTCGGTTTCTGGAGAGCCTGGGTCTGGAGCTGGTGTTGGTGCTGCCTCTGGGGGTGGTGTGCTTGGTGCTTCGGAGGTCGACTCTGGGGCTGCCGCTGCCCCGGACACTACTCCTTCCCCCCACCCCTACCCGACCAGGTTCCAGGCTCGTGTTCGTCGTGCTCGTGAGGAGCAGCTGGAGTTGGAGAGAGAGGAGAGAGAGTTGCAGCGGCTCGAGGAGCAGGAGCGACAGCAGCAGGAGCAGCAGCAGGAGCAGCAGCAGGGGCAGCAGCCGCTGGAGCAGCAGCAGCCACAGCAGCCGCAGCAGCCGCAGCAGCAGCAGCTGCCGTCTCCTCCTCCTGTCTCGGGTCTTCGGACCCTTGGTCTCCCCTCTCCCTCTCCTTCCTCCTCCCCCTCTCCTCCCGTCTCTGGTCCTCCGCTTCCTCCTCCTGACCCCTCTCCCGCTGTTTTCCCTCGTTCTCAGTCTTCGTTGTCCCCTCCTCCTTCTCAGACTTGGGCCTCTCGTCGCTCCCCTCGTGCTCGTCCCTCGTCTCCTGTTCCCTTCACTGACCTTCGTACTGCCTTACTTCGTTCTAGTCCACCTCGTCCGTCTCCGTCTGTGCTTCCGTCTCCTCCTGAGTCGGCTCTCACTGCGTCGCTCCCTACTCCTGTCACTGACTACTACCGCACGTACCGTCCTCTTCTCTCTCGTGTTCTCGCCTCACTTGTTACTCACCCTCGTGCCTCTGTGTCCTCTGTGTCCGCTCTTACTGCCGCAGTCACTGAGTTTGCCTCTACCCGCCGCCTTGACTTCGCCACCGCTCTTGTGGCTGCTCCTCCTTCCAGTCCTCTGGCCGTCGGGGGTGTGTCTGCCCTTGGCTGTGACGCCCTAGAGGACAGGCAGTTTGAGCTAGAGTTCCTGGCGGCCGCTTCCCCTCATCTCTGTGCCATGCTCCTCGCCCCTGAGGGTGACCCCGACGCCCTTGACATTCCGACTCCTCGCACTTACGCTGAGGCAGTGTCACGGCCTTGGGCCTCTCAGTGGAGAGCTGCCATGGACGCAGAGATGGCCTCCTACAGATCCACAGGCACCTACGTCGATGAGGTTCCCCCTCCGGGGGCGAACGTAGTCGACGGCATGTGGATCTACAGGGTGAAGCGGCCACCGGGATCTCCTCCGGTCTTCAAGGCGCGCTACGTGGCTAGAGGTTTCAGTCAGCGCGAGGGAGTTGACTTCTTTCAGACCTTCGCGCCCACCCCGAAGATGACCACTCTTCGGGTGTTACTGCACGTAGCAGCACAGAGAGACTACGAGTTACACTCTCTCGACTTCTCTACTGCCTTCCTTCAGGGCAGTCTGCACGAGGAGGTCTGGTTGCGTCGTCCCTCTGCCTTCACTGGCTCTTTCCCTCCTGGGACCCAGTGGAGGCTGAGGCGACCGGTTTACGGACTTCGTCAGGCTCCTCGTGAGTGGCACGACACCCTGCGTTCTACCCTGTCTGACCTTGGGTTCCAGCCGTCTTCTGCTGACCCGTCGCTGTTCGTTCGTCGTGGCCCCACACCTTTCTTTGTTCTGGTCTACGTTGACGACCTTGTTTTCGCCACCCCTGACAGAGTTGCTTTGGCACACGTGAAGTCCGAACTGCAGAAGAGACACACCTGCACTGATCTTGGTGAGCTGCGCCACTACCTTGGCCTGCAGATCACCAGGGACAGAGCTGCTCGCACCATTACACTTTCACAGTCGCACATGGTGCAGCAGGTCCTTCAGCGGTTCGGGCTTCAGCACTCCACAGTACAGCGCACACCTCTTGCTGTTGACCACAGACTCACTGGACCCTTTCCTGACGAGCCGTTCGAGCCTAGTGGTCCCTACGCAGAGCTTGTGGGTTGCCTCATGTACCTGATGACTTGTACTCGCCCGGACCTCGCCTTCCCTCTCAGCGTTCTTGCGCGCTTTGTTGCGCCAGGGAGACACCGTCCTGCTCACTGGACAGCAGCTGTGAGGGTGGCGAAGTACCTAGCGACGACGTCAGGCGTGGGGCTAGTTCTTGGAGGGCAGCAGTCTGTCGTACTTACTGGTCACTGTGACTCCTCTTACGCTGACGACGCTGAGACTCACAGGTCTACTCAGGGGTACTGTTTCAGCCTGGGTTCTGGAGCTGTTTCCTGGCGGTCCACGCGCTCCTCTTCGGTCTCGACCTCTACAGCTGAGGCTGAGATCTACGCTGGTGCCATGGCGGCACAGGAGCTGCGTTGGTTGACCTTCTTGCTCACCGACCTTGGTGAGCGGCCGAGCTCTGCACCGACCTTGTTCACTGACAACAAGGCGTCTATTCTCCTTTGTCGAGAGCCACGACTGGAGAGCAGAGTGAAGCACATTCACGTCAGGTACTTTCTTCTGCGAGAGTTGCAGAGGCGTGGACAGGCTCGCTTTGAGTTTGTGGAGTCCGAGGCCAACACTGCAGACATCTTCACCAAGGCGCTTCCGCCTTGTGACCACCAGAGGTGCTGTGTGCAGTTAGGCCTTGTTGACACTGGTTCTCGTGTTGCTTAGACCTGAGTGTACTGTTTACTTTGCTTTCTATATATATCTGTTACTTCTTGGACTGGCCTTGTGGCCACTGTTGTTTGTGCTCAGACTGCGTGGTGACGTTGTGATCCACCCTGAGCTTTGTTTCTTGGACTGGTCTTGTGACCGTACTCGTTTGGTTCTGCTAGACACCCCTCACTTAGGCTATGGGGGTGTGTCAAATGTTGTAGCCTGTAGTGAGGTTTGTCTTAGGGGGTACAAAACTTAGGGTTAGCTATATGTACCCCAACCAACATCAATGCACCATCCATTCTTCATTCTGACAAGGGGGGAGGGAGGGGGAAGGGGTTGTGGGGGGGGGGGCGGGTGTGAGGAGCCTGCCACTCCTCCCTCCCTTCCCTCTTCCTCTCTCCCTGCAGCAACTGTTGCTGTAGGGGGGGGGGGGGGGGAGAGAAGTGCAGAAGGGTGAGGGGGTGGCGGGAGAAGACAGGTGCGGAAGGTGTGAGGTTGACGGGGTTGAGTGACGAGGGGGGTGAGGACTAAGGGGTTCTTAACGGGGGGGGATCGCATTGAGCGTGCGCGCTCATGCCCGCCTAGCCCACCTCCTCTCCTCATCGGGACTTGGGGGTTCTTAACGGGGGGGGATCGCTATGAGCTTTCGCGCTCAAGCCCGCCTAGCCCACCTCCTCTCCCTTCCCTCTCTCACCTCCCCTTTGTAAAAGGAGGTTCGTAAGCGGGTCCGCCGGTCCTGGCCCCCCACCTCCTCCCCTCTCCTCTCCTCTCCTCTCCTCTCACCTCCTCCTCCTTCCTAACCTCTCTACCCTCTTCCGCTGCGCCACGTGTACCTGTACTAGTTATCACGGCAAGCAGGTTAAGGGGGTGTGTTAAGTTTTGTTATATACCCTGCTTGCTGTGTGTTCTAGTGTAGCTACAGTGGTGGTGCACCAATGTGCTCACCTTTCTTTGCTATATCTTGTAACCTTGCTGTAGTGAACCGCACCTTCCTGTTTCTCTCGCTCACGCTACCCCAAACCCTTAGGCTACTATTCTTAACAATCAGCATGACATCAGCATGGCGAGTGGCATGAGATGACATCAGCATGAAATGAGGCTCTTGTAGTTAGCATTTTCTAACATTCCCAATTCCCTGGTCATCAGCTGCATCGCAATTCACTTATCGTTCATGCTGCCAGCATCAGCATCTCTCAAAAGCATGAGTATCGTCACATCGTACGTGAATTTTAGGGATGACCGTTGTGATGTTCTTCTCTGTATACCACCATGGTGGAAGGGCCGTGTATGTGTAGCATGTGACGTGCATTGTCTGGCATATGCCATTTAGCATGTGTCATGCGTGCACTGTCCACCACTTGCCATTGGGTCCATTTGCCATGTGCATTTTTCGATGTCATGTGCAATGGATGTGATGTGCATCACCACTTTTCTTGCCTGCTCATCTCGACTTCCCTTGGCCTGCTCATTCTCATATGATGCCGTGCAATCACACTATCTGCCCGGGCATTTTGCTGAGCCGGATGTGTTGCCCGTTTTTGTCTACATGGTCAGTCATCACCTCACCTCACCATATCACCAACCTGTACACTACAGATGATGCCCATCATACCTTGCGTGTAGCGCCTGTCCATGCACAATTGTTTGGGGCTGCTAAGGGTGATCTAGTGTATTTTAATACTGATTTCAACTCTTTCGTTTTGTGCTTGTAATCTGGAATCTTAAAGAACGAGCAATGAGGTGGGTAAATATTTGGCAAGCAAACTAGACGCTCATTTTGAGGTATGAGTTTTGGGCTGAACTAAATTATTCTTGTTCTGCATTGTACCAACTGTACTTGCTGTGATTATTATTTGAACAAGCATGGCTTGTCGCTTTTGCCTCCTTACAAGCCTTCAAGCCAATCACATGCTGTCAAACCTGGTCGTCGTCGCTGACGTCAAGCCGTGTGTGTTCGACGTGGAGAAACTGCTGTCGGTCTCCCGCCGTCATCCCCAAGGAAGAAGCAAGATGCGTTGCAACAGTTGACATTGAACATGTGAGTCCACGCGGAATTTTGTGAGGCTGACGTCAACTCGGCATTACCTGCGAGTGCCCGTATTGGTCAGTTCGAGAATGTCAGCACATCTGCCACCGACACGTCATAGCCGCGTGATGCTTGGAAGGTGTTGGTGTCGCGTGGCGAGCTGAGCTCTCCACGGTGCCCATGACAGCCATGCCATGAGGTTTGCAAGCGAGGGGGGTAACTTCGTAACAGACAGAAGGAAGGAAGGAAGTTGCACGGTTTCGGGGAGGGACCAATGGCGTTCAAGGGGACAAACGACCGTGGAAGTTGGTTGGTGCGCGTCAGCATTTTTGCCCCTCCGCCAGAAGGGTTCAGTTCGGTGGGACGCGGAGGTTGCGTTCCGTTTTATTCTTCCGTTCTGTTGTTCTTCCATCTGATCTGATGGGGGCACCACCACCACCAGCACGAGCGCAAAACAATCCATCAGTTTCCATCTAGCACGTTCCTTTTCGGTTCCTCTACAGTACGCTTCGGTTCGCTGCAGTTCAACGCGGTTACAATTAACCCCATTCACATCGAACAATTCAAGAAAGCGCTGGTGAAGAACCTCCCGCAGCTGTCCGTCCTTCCCTGAATCAGTCTTGTGCTTTCTAAATACTTCACTGGTCTCAATTTCCTCTCGGTCATTTCTGCTAGACAACTTTCTAGACGGATATGGTATTATTAGAAGTTTAGAAGTGTTAGCGGATCCTATTTCATCCCTTCATTATTGTCAGTTTCAAGAACACGAAATGTCTACCGCGACAACCATAGGAATGGGAGCGCAGAACCAGTCCGCAGCTGCCGCAGCCGCCGGATTCTCCACCAGCGTCAGCGCCGTGCTCTCCGTATTCGTTATTCTCTTCATCTTCCTCTTCTTTTTCGTTATGGTCATCCGCGCGTGTCTCATGGTGCTGAACGCACGCGATTCTCGCGGTCCGCATGATCGCGCACTCACCTTGGAAGAACACATGATGCGTCGCACGCAACTCAGCGCGATGCAAAAAGCGCCGACGGCGGGGCTCGATCCCGAGATCGTTCAGGCGCTACCGACCGTTACTTTCTCCCGCGAAAAACTTCACGACGGCTGCTGCGAGAGCTTTCGCGAGTGCGCGGTGTGCCTTGGCGAGTATGAGGATGGGGAATGTATCAAGACTCTACCGTCCTGCGGACACAGATTTCACGCCACGTGTATCGACATATGGTTTTGCGCGCATACCACGTGTCCCATCTGCCGATTCAATCTGAAGCCCCCGAAACCTCCGGGCCAGCAGGAAGACTCTCAGGGTCCGGAGACGGATGCAGGCGATTCAGGCGATTCAAGCGAGAGACATGCGACGGCTAACGACGAGGTGGATGCGTCGGCGACAGTGAATGAGACAACAGCGAATAGCGTTAGCATTCAGGTGGAGATCGTTGATGATACCCAGGACCAGCACGAAATTGTAGAAATGGATTCTTCACCTGAAGTGTTGGCACGACCGCCAGTGGTACGAGCACAGGCGGTTGCGGGAACAGGGGAAGCAGAAGCGTCATCAACAGCAGCGGCAGCGGCAACAGCAGAAACGGATACGCCATGCGAAGCAGCAGGAATTAGGGTTCCAGCGGTAGTAGAATCATCAGCAATACAACAAGCAGCAGTAGTTTCGCAAAGAAGACGAACCGGAGAGGCGGACAGAAGGCGTTTGCAAAGTGCGGAGGGTCAGGAGGATGAGGAATGTCTGGTAGGTCAGGAGAAATTGCAGGATATGAGCGAATCTTGGTCGGAAATTGCGTTGACAGCAAAGAATGATACGAGTTTGGATGATTCGAGGAGGAGGAAGGAGTTGAGGCGGTTTTTAGGGGTGACAGATGAGGAGGAGGATTTTGGGTTGAAAGAGGGGAGGGTTGATTGGGAGGTGGGGTTGGAAGGAGGGGAGAGCAGTGGAGGTGACAGATTGTGTGTTAGAATCGAGGTATAAGACCGTACGTGTAAGGGAACCGACACAAGCAGCTCTTGAAATAGTAGAGTGCGCTCTTTAACAGTTCAGTAGGATAAGGTACGGTTGGATGCGGTACAACAGGTTGGCCTTCAGTAGGGTTAGCTTAGCTCCATTGATACCTCAATCCTAGCTTTGGGTATGTGGCTGGTATAGCACTTGTAAATATTGGAGCATTGTCTATTGAGACTAGAGAGGAGGAGATGAGGAGACGAGATGGTCAGTCCACCTCCAAAGGAGATGAGGGAGGTGGGTTTTGCAGAACTGGATTCAGATGGGCCTGCAGAGGGGAGTGATGATATGGCGGGGTTGGAAAGGGGGGCGGGGAGGTGAGTCTAACGCCGCAAATACGTGAATACATGTATGTACAAATAGATATATGTAAAAGGTAGAATCATAGAGAATGGAACACTGCGTATCGTACTTCATGGAAAGACAACAGACACATAATCTTTACAAAGAAAAGCATCGCACAAGAGGAGAGGAACGGGAAAGAAAGACACCAGAAACAACTCAAACGCAACACCCATAAAAAGCCCCATAAAAATACTCTATAAAGAAAAAACCCAACCAGGATCCCCTACCAGACGTCCCATCTCGCACCCCATTCCCCCCCCCCCCCCCCCCCCCCCCCCCCCCCCCCCCCCCCCCTCCCCCCCAAGTCACTGCGTATCGTACGGTACTGAGCACTGCAGAAAGGAATATTTGTATTCTTAGCTACAATATTTGTACAGCACTCAGCATTTGTCTATGCCTGGAAGGCGTATTTCTGTAGTGCGTTTGTGGTCCTATGAGTCCATTTCGATTTTAAATTCGATTTAGATTTCGTGTAGCAAATGAAGGCAAGAGGGTTTGCAGAGCAAATGTGTTGAGGCATTTTAGCCCCTTCTATTGAAACTATGTGGAATAAACAGTTCTTATTTCTAAGGTGCGTGTTTTGTTTCGTTACACGCTTTTCCTCCGATTACTGGTTCGCTCTCCCCTACGGGCCTTCAAGCCAATCGGAGGCTGTCAATCTTGGTGTGACGTGCGGTGTGATCGACGTGGGGCATTTTGTGTCAAGATCCCTGCTACAGTGGCCATTTAACCTAGTCCAGCCCACGCGTGGCGCATGGAAAATGTGGTGCGGCGAGTCGCACGTGCGCTCCCCCACCACCACCCACCCAAACCACTGGTAACCACACAACTATGAGGCTTGGGATGGGTTGGGATGGGATGGTATTGGATGAGATGGGATGATTTGGGATGGGATTAGATAAGATGGGTATGGTTTGGCTTGGGTTGGTCTGGTATGGGATGGATGGATGAATGGGATGGGGAGGTTTGGGATGGGATGGTTCGGTGCAACTCCCGGCAGCCACCGGAGCCTGCTGATTGGTCGGATATTGAGCGCTTCAGACACGCTGTACTGTATGACTTCGGTTCGGTGGACTGGGAAGGTCAAGGGAAATGGCAGCAAGTGCAAGTGGAATTGCACCGTCATCGCAGAAGCAGCTTGCCGTCCCCGCCCCACCCCGACCTGTGACGGAAAAGTTGGACGGCCTGGCCCTGCCGTTGGTGCGTTATCGTCTTTTCATTGGTGGTCGTGGTTCACGCGGATCCACAACACGAGTCAGCAGAATCCCCTGTCTCGAGGTCGTATTTCCATTTAGCTAATCCGGTTTGTACCGTGCTCAATTGGAGGTTCCAACGATTGAAGTGTTGGCTCCTCCACACAAATACAGGTAGCAGTCAAGCGATGAACTCTCGTAGAAGAGATGAGCCCGGAGTGTCGAAACCGGCTGGTGTGTGTTTTTTTGCGGCTGAGAACGACTCGGCTTTCCAAACCTACCTCCATCAGAGGTTGGTGCGCCTCGCCAAATTCTTGGTGGGGGATCGGTCGGATTTCGTTTCTTCATGCTGGTTTCTCCCACCACACTATCCTCAATTCGTACATACATCATGGTATTCTTCGGTTTGCTATGTTCCCATCTGGCTGCTCCCAAGAACCGTGCAAAACTGTGAAAAAGCCCAATCGAACCGCATAGTATTCTTCAATTTGCTGAATTCGCATCTGGTTACTCTCTCGAACCGTGTTGAAACGTGAGAAACCCAACGAAACCGCATCTGCAACAAACGCAAAACTAGCGCTTCGTCGGGTCTCCTCCCAGCATTTCTTCGTCTACATACAGTACTTCACTTGTCTTGCCCTTCCTTTCTGTTCAGTCATTTTATTTTCGAAGCTGGACAGATTCTTCGACAGGTAGAATAGAACTGCTTGAGCACTTAGCAGCTCCTCGTCTTGGCTGCTGTCCCAGGAAACCGCAGGTTAAGACCTAGGTGTTACCAAGTTTGTAGCCGGTCGCTTCTGTCAGAATTGTTTTCCAGAATGTCCACCACCAGCAATATCATGGGAGCAGGAGCACCGAACCAGACCGTTGCTGCCGGAGCCGCGGGAATCTCCACTTCCGTTAGTGTAGCTCTACCTGTATTCGTTGTGTTCTTCATATTCATCTTCTTCGTCGTTATGATATTCCGCGCGTGTTTCATGGTGCTGAAAAGCGGAGATCGCGGTCGTACTCACGCCATCACTCCAGAAGAATACATGCTTCGTCGAATGCATCTCAGCGCGATGCAAAAAGCGACGACGACAGGACTCGATCCCGAGATCGTTCAAGCGCTGCCGACCTTCACTTCCTCCCGCAAAAAGCTTCGTGAAGGCTGCTGCGAAAGCTTTCGCGAGTGTGCGGTTTGCCTCGGCGAGTACGAGGAAGGGGAGTGTATCAAGACGCTCCCCATCTCAAAAATCCCTATTGATTATACATACCTTTTACATACTTTTTCTATACTCATTGGTATGTATTTAGGAGGGGTGATTAGGCCTACTATAAAGTAGAAGTTGTCGTACCTTTTTAGTAGGGTCCATTTCCATACGAAAAGGACTAGCTATTTAGTTAGTAAATGTACCTCATTGACATGTCATTTATATTACATTTGCTTTCCCAACATCATGAAACCGCCTCCCGTTAGTCATGCATTTTCTGATAAAAAAACATACATTTGCCTATCCAATGGTATGGAAACTATGCAAATTTGGGGCTCCAATTTCTAGCTGGAAATGACCCATATGTATGTATCCCAAAAGTAACCATTTGTCCATTTTCTCAATATATATATCACATACGCTATATAATACAACACATCTTAGCATGGCACCAATTCGCCCGCCCATATCATCCACCTCTACACACTATCCTCCGCATCCTCCCACTCGCCCACATCATCCAGGAGATCATGCTCCATGGTGGCATCACTGCTGTTGGAACCCGTCTTCTTCTTCTTGCCTTTCTCGGGCTCCACCTGGGCATATTCGAACAGGAGAGCAACCTCCTTCTTCTCGGCGGCATCGGGGTCAGCCCCATGTCAGAATGAAGAATGGATGGTGCATTGATGTTGGTTGGGGTACATATAGCTAACCCTAAGTTTTGTACCCCCTAAGACAAACCTCACTATAGGCTACAACATTTGACACACCCCCATAGCCTAAGTGAGGGGTGTCTAGCAGAACCAAACGAGTACGGTCACAAGACCAGTCCAAGAAACAAAGCTCAGGGTGGATCACAACGTCACCACACAGTCTGAGCACAAACAACAGTGGCCACAAGGCCAGTCCAAGAAGTAACAGAGATATATAGAAAGCAAAGTAAACAGTACACTCAAGTCTAAGCAACACGAGAACCAGTGTCAACAAGGCCTAACTGCACACAGCACCTCTGGTGGTCACAAGGCGGAAGCGCCTTGGTGAAGATGTCTGCAGTGTTGGCCTCGGACTCCACAAACTCAAAGCGAGCCTGTCCACGCCTCTGCAACTCTCGCAGAAGAAAGTACCTGACGTGAATGTGCTTCACTCTGCTCTCCAGTCGTGGCTCTCGACAAAGGAGAATAGACGCCTTGTTGTCAGTGAACAAGGTCGGTGCAGAGCTCGGCCGCTCACCAAGGTCGGTGAGCAAGAAGGTCAACCAACGCAGCTCCTGTGCCGCCATGGCACCAGCGTAGATCTCAGCCTCAGCTGTAGAGGTCGAGACCGAAGAGGAGCGCGTGGACCGCCAGGAAACAGCTCCAGAACCCAGGCTGAAACAGTACCCCTGAGTAGACCTGTGAGTCTCAGCGTCGTCAGCGTAAGAGGAGTCACAGTGACCAGTAAGTACGACAGACTGCTGCCCTCCAAGAACTAGCCCCACGCCTGACGTCGTCGCTAGGTACTTCGCCACCCTCACAGCTGCTGTCCAGTGAACAGGACGGTGTCTCCCTGGCGCAACAAAGCGCGCAAGAACGCTGAGAGGGAAGGCGAGGTCCGGGCGAGTACAAGTCATCAGGTACATGAGGCAACCCACAAGCTCAGCGTAGGGACCACTAGGCTCGAACGGCTCGTCAGGAAAGGGTCCAGTGAGTCTGTGGTCAACAGCAAGAGGTGTGCGCTGTACTGTGGAGTGCTGAAGCCCGAACCGCTGAAGGACCTGCTGCACCATGTGCGACTGTGAAAGTGTAATGGTGCGAGCAGCTCTGTCCCTGGTGATCTGCAGGCCAAGGTAGTGGCGCAGCTCACCAAGATCAGTGCAGGTGTGTCTCTTCTGCAGTTCGGACTTCACGTGTGCCAAAGCAACCCTGTCAGGGGTGGCGAAAACAAGGTCGTCAACGTAGACCAGAACAAAGAAAGGTGTGGTGCCACGACGAACGAACAGCGACGGGTCAGCAGAAGACGGCTGGAACCCAAGGTCAGACAGGGTAGAACGCAGGGTGTCGTGCCACTCACGAGGAGCCTGACGAAGACCGTAAACCGGTCGCCTCAGCCTCCACTGGGTCCCAGGAGGGAAAGAGCCAGTGAAGGCAGAGGGACGACGCAACCAGACCTCCTCGTGAAGACTGCCCTGAAGGAAAGCAGTGGAGAAGTCGAGAGAGTGTAACTCGTAGTCTCTCTGTGCTGCTACGTGTAGTAACACCCG